AAACCCCAAGTGTTGACTGGTTCGCCTAAACCGGTTGATGTAAAATTCTAGATGTTGACTGATTCGCCTAAACCGGTTGATGTAGAATCCCTAGATGTCAACTGGTTTGCAAAAATTCACTGAATCTAAAAGATGTCAATTGATTTATCATAGATGTCGACTGGTTTAATAACAAGTTGACGTTTTTCCCCAAGGTGTCAACCGATTTTAACCAACCAGTCGACTGAATTACCAAGGTGTCGACCGGTTCATGCAAACCGGTCGACGTATACATTAAACCGGTTGACCGAACTGTGACAGTTCGTCTTCCACGACTCCAGCGATTACGTCTTCCTCCGTTAAGGTCCTAAGACTATTGTTTTAAGTCTAAAACAACCCTAAACATTATGTAAACCTCTTATGCATAATTTAAACAAGTTAAAATCACAACTTATGCGATAAACTTTAAACAAAATTCAAACATATACACATACAATTAACATACTGTAATTCAAGTTTTAGCATGCATATATGGTTGATTTTTAATAACTTAAAGTTCCTGAAGACTACCTAGGCATGCCCAGAACACAGGTTTAAGGGAAGGAGATAGAAATAAAACTTGCCTTTAGGTTTCGGTTTGAAACCTTTCAACGTCGTCTCTAAGTTCCGGCAACCCCAAGTAATTCTCCTCATCTGATCACTGTTCCATTCCTCTGTTACTTCTTGGTTCAACCCACGAGTAACTCTCTTCAATAATTTCTTGAGCCTCTATATGCTTCACTCAAGCCTCTCTCTGTTCTCTCTCAAGAACCCTTACATGAATAAGGTTTATTTTCCAATCATATTCGACGTATACCATTCAATATATATAGGCATTTACTTAAAACCTAACTTTAATTCCCAACCTAATTATAAGACTGCTAACCTAATTACATAAAATAAAACCCTAAACTATATATGACACCTACAAAATATAAACTAACTAAGTCACACAAGCCATTAAATAAAACACGTCACTTAAACACCAATTAAATTAAACAATGAATTTAAACTAAATAAACAATTACAATTAAACATATAGCCAGATATTAAACATTTAAATGCACATAAACCAAATAATCAAATAAAATGCACATAAAACAAATAATCAATTAAAATGCACATAAAACAATAATTAAATGCCAATAATATCCTTTTGAGAAATAGGGGTATTACAGGAAGGTACCCATGGGTTAATAACCCTAAAGTGATCTCAAGAGTACGGTTTCAATCCGGGTAATATCCAAGTATTTATATCCTTGTGATATTTATATCTCATTGTGCTATGTTAAAAGTTCCAATGTCATTTTAATAGCATGAACTAAATTTTTATGGGATTGTAAACTTCATAATAAATTGAACTTCTGCATGCTCATTCCCTATGAGTAAACTTGTTTACTCACCCCGAAGTTACCAGGTGTTTTTCAGGTAAAGAAGCATCATTGTGGGATGCACAACACTCTTAGGATTGCTTGACTACTTGGAGTATTTTTGTATGTTAGAATATGCACTTGTTAGCATATCATGCTCCATTCTTGTTTATTTGACAAAACATGTATTTAATGCTCAAACTATGTAATATGCACTTAAGTGCACCTTTTGATACTCCTTAGTTGTGTGTGTAATGAGGCCAAGGGCCAAAGGTACTTATATGCTATGTATGCTACTTTATTTTCATAGTTTGTCTATGAAATTTAAGGGATTTCATGCATTGAAGGGTCATATTTTGCATATGACATGCCATGAAGCCGTAGGCCATTGTAGCGCGTCTACTTTTGCATTTTACGTATGCGTGCATGGTTACATTTCACAAAACTCTCAAGTTCCAACTTTTGAACTATTTATGGAGGATTTATGAAAAATTAAAGCAAAATCCATGCATTGAGTTATGATTCAAAGCTTCACTTTGATTTAACATGTTTTAGATATTTGTATGAAGTTAGGGAGTGTTTTGAAGCTTATTTGGATCACTTAGGATGCATGTATAACCTTAGAACCAAGCCAAGCACCTTCCCATGGGTTACAACAGCATTTTCTGCTGTTAACAGGTCCATCGGTCGGTTGATAGCAGTCATCGGTCGACCGATATGTGTTAAAAATGAAATCGAGAGTTTGTATTTGAAAAAGGGTGTTTCGGTTGGCTGGTACTATACATCAGCCGGCTGATGATGGAGTTTTGGCCGGCTGGTACTGTTCCGTCAGCCTACTGATCCTCCCTGAAGCTTGGTTTCCTTTCAGCTTCTTGGACAAATTTCTTGGGTCAACTTCAAAGGGCCATATCTCCTTCATTTCTAATCTAAATCAGGTTATTCTTGAGTCTAAACTCAAGAGCTTGAAGTTAGCTTTCCAATGATACCAACCACACTCAGAAAATCCAACCATAGTGAGAGTTATATCAATTTTAGTAAGATATGGTCGTGCTGTCTCTTAAACGGAGGATGCCTCTTCGTTCTATTTTCATATCTTTTCCATCCGGACTCCAAGTCAGGTGATTCTTGAGTCTAAATTCATTAATTTTTGATTGTCTTTCCAATGGTATGCTTGGTAGCATCCATTCCTCTATGAAGACCGTTTTGCCCCTAAGCGCATTCTTATCCGTTTTTGAAACGTCGCTTCCGCAATTGTTTTCTTTAGATTCCGAGTCCTCGTTGAGGGTCACATTGGTGTCTTATAGACATGTAGTATCTCTAGAGACCATTATTTTACTTCTTGCATTCGCATTCTAGATTCATCATTGGATTTACCTTCGGTTTACTATAGGACGCACTGGTCTAAAAACCAGGGCCGGCACAGAAATAAATCTTTCAAAGAGAGAGAGAGAGTGGAAAGCTTTTCATTCACGTGTATCGTACCAAGCAATATATACACATGGCCTATTTATAGGCTCAAAATTGTAGCTTCCCAAACAAGCCATAATAAGGCTTTCATTGTAAACAAGGATTGAGCTTTCTCCGTAAGCTAACAAGGCTTTCACTGTAAGCAAGAATTAAGTTTTCTCCGTAAGCCAACAATGCCATCATGGATGATTTAAGATTATGGGCCCCAGAAACATATATATATATATATATATATATATATATATATATATATATAACAGGTGTCTGTTTTTTTTAGTTAAAGAATTTTTGGTATTTGGTGATAGTGAGAGCTGAGTCGAATTTTACTAGAAAAAAAAAATACTCTGTATGATGAGAGTGAGAACTGAGTCAGCAGCTGTTACGCGAACCACTCAAATTTTCCAAAATTCACAAATTCAGACTTTATTTATCAGTGTTGTAATTTAATAATATTTTTAAGTAATTTTTTAGAGGTAAGATGATTGCAATTTCTTGTCAAAGTGAAATAATAATAATAATAATAGAAAAAAAAAAAAGACGACGAAATATATGTTAGAATAACTAAGAGCTTTAAATCATTAATTAATTAATGATCCCTCAATATATAGTGTGAGAGGTCATTTTTATTTTTATTTTTAAGCAACTGAATATACGGTGGGTCAGAGACCAAATAACTGCCCATTTGAATGGGACACAAGAAGTCAAAATAGGGCAAACCAAGCAAAAGCCTAGTCCAATCTACTTAAACCAATAACCAAAATTAACAGAATGATTAACTGTTAATGGTGGTTATCATTGCTCTATTTCAGGTGAGCCTCAGCTAAAAGAGAGTAGAGAAAACCGAGTCCAACGGTCTTGGTGGAGGATGACAGCCAGAAGGAGATAGGTTTCAATCACTCAATATTCATCTTGAGGTTAGACAATTATGAAGAAATCCCAATTTCAAAATTGAAGTGACAGTGGAGCAAATTTGGAAAAAAACAACTTTTTATAAAGATTTTTTTCCTTTGAAAATCCATTCATTTCTCTCTTCCCATATATGATAGGTATACCATTGATGAGAAGTAGATATTGCGAGGTAAGTTTGTAACAGAATTTATCTTCCATTGAATGCTTAACCAACAAATTAGGTTCTTCCAATTTGAAATAGGGGTGCATAAGTGACATTTGTCTTTGACTAATCTTCAAATTGGAAAAACAAAGCAACAATTGAAAAATAGATGGTGATGGGATTCTTGAAAGTTTTGGCAGAGGGCACATATGTTTTGATGACGTGCAATTGATTTACAATTCAGATAGTCTTGAATTGCTGATCATAAGTATGGTGGGAGAGGTGACGATCTTAAAAAGTGAGAACTAACCAAAAAATAAAAAGAGAAAAAATAGATGATAATTAGAAATAAGGGTACTCTCGCATGTGTCTTTAACAGTTAAAATGAGAGTATAAAGTCATTTAATTAAACAATTTTGGTAGGGAGTTTATATGAGTGTTCACGGGTATTTTTTTTCACACAATACAATATTATAAAATACAAATTATTACTATATATCAAAAGAAAACTTGTAAAAAAATCGTAAATTTAGATATTTTAAATTGAACTATCACAAATTTAGCTTTTTAATTTGGACTATTAAATATAAAAATACTTGAATTTATGTCACACATAATAGAGTCTATTGAGATGCAGTAGCTTGGGTAATTTAAGAGTGATGGCTCGAAATTGGAAGGGTTCATCACTGGGACAAAATGAAGCAATCTAAAGCCCAAATTGGTTGGGAAAAAATGAAAGGAAGATAAAGAAAACAAAGGGATATAATTATTTTTAAATTTTTTTTTGTGTGTTTGGTATAAAATTTTGAAAGAAAAAGAAAGAGAATAGAAGGATTTGAAGGAATAAATTTTAAACTTGATGAGTTGATGAGAGAAAATGAAAGAAAAAGGGCTAATATTTTTAGTAATTTTTTTTTTAATACCAAATTTTTTTTTATAAAAAACAAAATCTATAAAAAAATGTTATGGTAAATCTCTAAAATAATTTCATTTTCCATTTATTTCTTCTTTCCTTTATTTTCTTTTCCTCTGTTTTCTACTCTTCACTCTCTGCTTGCTCTCTTCTATTTTCTGTTGCTCTCGTAACTAATATTATACTTTATTTTCTTTTCAACTGAAAATAATCTTAAAAAAAGAAAAAGAAAAAAGAAAAAAGAAAAAAGAGAAAAAGGAGGACACCAGTGCAAAGTGTATACCACTTCAGCTTGACAAACCCCTTTTTGTTCCAGGGTTTATAACAGACCACTGAGAATCAAACCCCGTCACTCTCTTTCTCTGTGGGGGGCAAGATGGCCGATATAGAAACCGATTCAATAGTCTCTCTCATCACTTCACTGTTGAACAGCTTCCGGCAAGTTCCTCCGGCGGCTATTCCGGCGATGATAGACTGCGTCATAGCTTCAACAAGCTTATCTCCATCCTCTGTTCTATCTTTGCTCTTCAATGCTTTCCCTAATCTCACAAAGGTACTACCATTTCCTTAAAAACTCATTTTCTGAAATCATCAATAACCTGTTTGGTTGCTAGTATAGCTAAAATACTTCTTTCTGTATTAGGCTTAATTGATTTTTTTTTTTTTGGTCTGGGTCCTAGATAATGAAAAATCATTAAACTTTAATATATACTTAATCTTTCTGAGTTTATACTGAATTGGGTTTTACTGTTTTGGATAGGATATTATGAAGGAGAGTGGAAAGTTGGATTCGGAGGATTCTAATTATATTGGGTCGATTGTGGCTGCATTCTGCTGCCTTCTAAAGAAATCTGGTGAGTTATGGTATTTGCTTGAATTCGGGAAGCTGCTATTCTTTCTGATTTATGTCCATAGATGTAACCTGTTTTATGACCCAAATGCTTTACCCTGTTGTTCAGGTCCGTGAATTAAAAATGGGAAGCTCATTTTCTTTCTGATTTTGGTGCAAAAGAGTCATCTCTAATTTTTAAGTTTTAATAAAAGAGGTTAATTCCACCACGGAAACATTTGTGTTTGTGAATTAAGCAACCATATCTTTAGCAACATGTTCAATGTAATTGAAACAAGAATGAATTAAAATTTCCTTCCATCTTTAATTCAGAGACAATTTTTGAACCTCACTAGAATGACTTGAATTTAGTTGTGCGTTGTGGAGAAGTGATTATTAACTGGAATATAATGAATTTTGAGGTATACAAATAGTCCTATTAGAATGGACTCTAAATAGAATTTACACACAGACTTCTTAATAGAAAATCAATATATCAGACATAATCACGTTGTGAATTGAAATAAAAACAATAGTAATATATATTTAGCTTCAAAGAAACCATAACAATTAAAAAGCAAAAAATTTAACAATGGAGATGATATTGAGAAGAAGAGGCAGTTGCAAGTTCAAACAGGAAGGACCAAGACAGAAAAAAGGACTATGGGATTGAGCATCACAAAAATAGTGATCAAACATTACATGAAGGACAAGGTGTTATTTGATAAAACTGAAAATCAAGCGCCAAAAAAGTTTAGAGCTGAATTTTAAGTAATAGTTACAAATTGAGACCTTTTTTTTTTTTTTTTTTTTTTTTTCTTAATACATTTTTGAATTTTTTTGTGTTCAGTAATAAGTGAAGTAGCCCTCGCCTAAAGCTTCACCTCATTTTTGTTGTGTTATCAAACACACTCACTTCATTAAGTACTTAATTATTCAAAATTAAGTCAGTGATGACTTGAGTTTCAAACTACACATAAGCAATCGTCAAATCCCATAAAAGGTACTCAATATGCATTCAAATTTAGAGCAAACATTATGATTATTATATTAAAAAGGAACTATTCAGTTGTAAACATTAACTTAAGGTATATATTCTTTTGACAGGTTGAGTTTGTTGCATTTTCTTAACGGCCAAAAATTTGCTTACAACTTTATGATTATAGAATGTATTTGGAATGTACGGAATATTTTATTTTATTTTTTGGACTAGGGTAAAGATGACATGTAGTGCATAACTCACCAAAAAAAAAAAAGGTGTAGAAACAACAGATGTAATTCCCGGAGTGACAAATAAATTATTTTCACTCAGCTTTTGAAGAATTGACTGCAGTAATGAAGCATGAAAAGGGCATGGACTCCAATAAATAATAAAGAATGTACCTTGGAGGATGATATGTGAATGCATGGATGATCAAGGACGAGATTAAGAGAAGATTTTGGAGGGTGGTATGGAGGCTAAACTTTAGTGGAATTGGTTACTAGTTCAAATATGTTGGTTGAGTTTCCAGTCCAATGATCACTTATCCAAATAGGACCCTGAGGGGATTCTTTCGACTTGGGAGGTAGATCAATACATGTGGTTTGGTGAGAATTGTAAGTTTCAAGAAACTGGTCGGGAGTGTAGCAACAATCTTTGCAAGAAAACCTCTATTGAAGCTTGAGGCCAAGGGCAGTGATGATATTGTAGCTAATAAAACACTGTGTTTTTCTTATATATATATATATATATATCATCCCATTTATCTATTGTTGTTTTGTTCAAGTCTATTGACCATTGGTTTCTATTGGGAAAAAAAGCTATTGATTGTTAAGTTTTAAGGTCAACAATATTATACTTGTTGTGCTAAGCATAGAGTTTATCTAATTTTATTTAAGGAATTTTCTCTACAGGGGCTAACACTGGTGCTTTGCAATTGTTTATTTGGAAATTTTTTATTCCACTGATGAAGTTGGTACATGATTATAATCTTGAAATACTTAATGAGGTAAATGCCAAGGCAAGATTATTGTGTTCGTACTAAGTTATCCAGTGTCATATATGTGATGGTCGTTGCTTACATTTTATTTTCCCTCTTCGCTTCTGATTTTGGATTTAGATTGTAGAATCATTCTTTGATGTTGTGATTGGAACAAACACCTGGGTGGTTGTGGAGGTAACATTGGTGCCTTTTTTTCTGAGATTGGTTGGTTTATCAATGGGGATGCTTCATAGTGAAGATTTGGCTATTTACAAATGGAGTAGGCATTCTGCCCCCCTGGGTTTTGATGACCAGCTAAATGAGTTGGACATGGATGAAGAGTTCATGCTGTCTAAATCTGTATCTTTTCCATTGCGTGTATCATGCCATATTTTAACCTCTATATTGAATGCTGCTCTACTAAGTCAACATGCAGCAGGAAGCATCTCAGAATCTATTTTAGTAAACGGGTCTTCTGCAGAAACAATATCTGGAAATTTGCTTTGGGATCTTTGTAATATGACTATTAGAATGCTTTCACAAGATTCAGAACACAGATCTGCTGCAATGGGCCTTCTCCTGCCAACCATATTCAAAGCATTTGTTTCGAACTGCTCATTTGAAATCTCAACTCATGGGCAGACATATATTCTTTCCAGGTAGAAGGCTAATATTGTTATGATGGCGACAGTCTTTATGTAGCGTCAATCCATTACCACATCTGTTAGCATTTTTTTTTGTTTTTTCCCCCCCTATAATAAGCATGAGATATCTGTTTGGTTTCCCAGGAATCATTTATTTACGGAAATATGGAAGTGCTGCAGAATACTGTTTTCTTTGGGACCTTTGGAGAGAAAAGATGCATATGGTGTGTTATCTCTGCATTTATCTTTTTTCTCTTACATCAGTGGATGTGAAGATGTAGGTATGGGTGAAAGAGATGGCGGATTTGATCTAAGAGCAGAGAAGGAATTTTGGGAAGAAATTAAAAGAGGCTTGGTACTTGAGCACTATCTTTCTATACTTTATGGTGTTGGATTTATAATGATTGTATCTCTTGAGAAGTATTGAGAAGCTTTTATCTATGTTGGTTTGTTTGCCTTTTGACTTTTGCTGGGGCTTTCTAGGTTGATAAGGAAGGCTTAGTGAGGAAGCATTCGTTACACATACTAAAGATGGCACTGCACATAAATGAGGGAAGCCAATGCTATAATGGTGTTTCAGAAACAATATCCAGTGGGAAAGATTCAGCCCCTTTAATAACAAAGAGGGAGATGTGGGCTGACAAAGAAGCCAAGTCATTGGGCGTAGGGAAAATATGCCATTCAGCTGAATCCTCTTTGAATAGTCAGCAGAAATGGGGGGCATTCTTACTTCTCTATGAAATGCTTGAAGAGTATGGTACTCACTTGGTTGAAGCAGCATGGAATCGCCAGGTTTGTCATCAATTTTATTGTACATATCATTTAATATCTTTCTTGAATTTGCTCTTATGATTTAGGGTGCAACTTTGGTGAGCTGAGCAGGTTTTGGTGTCACCATGAGCCTCGGCCCAACTTAGGTTCCACAACAGCCTCCAACTTGATAAGCCAACCTGAGTTTATTTTACTGAGCTTGAGATAAATTCAGGTTGGTTGGGTTTGGTTTGGGTTAGGCTTGGCTGGTAGGGTTAGGTTTGGGTCGCTAAATCTTAATAATAGTACACTGAATAATATTGATGGTAATGAATAGAATATTTGTTTGTTCGAATTGAGTTTGGGTTGGCCAACATGATTATCCAAGCACAATCTGATTTGAGGTTGGGTTGAAACTTTTTAACACCCGCGTTTGGTTTGAGTTGGTTTGCCCTAGTTGCATCTCCCAATTAAGATGAGATTTCCACTTGTGAGGTAACATGTTATGTGCTTATCACTGAATAGGATATGGGTAAGTGGCCTCACCTCTGGTATTCAATTAAAGAGGAGTGTGGATAAGGTACCAAGATTCTAAGATTTTTTCACATTTGAGAAAAGGAGGTCATGTAAGCATGAAAATTGGCATGGAAATGTTCAAATTCAAATAAATACTACTATGGGGTTAAAATCCTAGTATTATTTCATTGGCATATCTATGAAAGGTGCATTTGGGTATGAACTAGGAAGATCTCGCTAAACTTAAGGGCTGACTAGCTCAAGGCACTGTTTTCACCCTTGCAATGTGTCTGCATGATAAATTTAACTCATTCCATGGTTGCGTCAAAATTGTCACTTCCTCAGCCTGTGTGTGGACAATACGGGACCATCCAATAGCAACTGCAACTGCTATTCAAAAAGTAAAACCACCATTTAGTCAGAATGATGATTACAGCTACCATGTCCCCAGAAGTCCACTATACAGTAAGAACTTCATGAAACCCACACCCATCACTTTGTTTCTATAATGAGAATGTTAAAGAAGCGGAGAAGGTCATGTTATGCTCCTCACATTCATTGCTTCCATGGACGTGCTGGTTACCTCTCAACCATTTTCATCACAGATTTGGTTACCTTCACTTGAAATCACTCTGATTATTGTTGCTTCTGTTCATGGCTGTTCTCTATTCCAAGTGGATTTAAATACTGCTAGTTTGAGTGGGGATTTTACAAAGAAGTTTATATGTGTTCTCTCCTTGGCTTAACTCATCTACGTGAATATTTATCGTCTTTGTAGTGCTATTTATGGTCATAAGAAGCTCCTAGAGCTTGGTTGGAGAAATTAAATTTTACCTGGCCTTTAACTCCAACCTCATGATTCTCTAATGTTTTTATGTGATTCACCTCATTGTCGTGTTGTGTTGCTTCCTTAGATTGATGATATGATTACCACTGTTAGTGGTTCAACATGTATTACTAATATTAAGAGCAACTTCAATTATATATGTTGTGATGTTGTTGCCCGAATTTTGTTTGGGCTCGGGTCGTGTTGTGGCCCGAATTTCATAATCACCGTGCAATCACCAGCAATGCAGAACTTCTGTTTTATATGCTGAAAAGTGCAAATACTCTTTTTTGTTTTTTTATTTTTTAATTTTTGTTTTTTTTCGCAGATAACCTTGTTGCTTCATTTATCTTTCCCACATGATAACTCCATGAACTCTATTACTGGGGAATTTTATCAAAATCAGATGGATATGTTGGGAGGAATATTTATTTGGTTAGCTGTTTTGTGGGAGCGGGGATTTTGTCACCATAATCCTCAAGGTAACTGGAACTTCTTAGTATAACTAGTTAATTTTATTATGGAAGTTAGTTTTCTATAAACTATGGAATAATTGTTTAGTCTTGTTTATGTTGCAGTAAGGTGCTTGATTATGCAGTCATTTTTGGGCATTGAATGGAAGACCTATGGAAATAATGCAAAATTAGTGCCTGAAGAGTTTGTGATTGGTCCGCTTATAGAAGGGTTGAATGATCCTGTGCACCACAAAGATTTTGGTTTGTTCCTAGTTTAGTTGATTATCTGCATTAGTTTCAATTTTAAACAATACTCGTTCCTTATTTTATTTTATTTTTTTTTCTCCTGTTGAAAATAATTAATGATTTTTATGTCGTAAAAGCCATTATCTGGAATTGTTACCAATTAATTAATATGCATGGACTCAGTACATACTTAACAATTTCCATCATTTCTATCAAGTACCTAACTTTATAGTCCAATCCCCTTTCTCACCCTTGGTAACCCAAGCTTTTACCATTATATTAAGCAATTTTTTATACTCATTATACTGATATAAGAGTTGGCATCAGTGCTCGCCATGGGGTACATTGGAATGAATGTATACTTTCTACAGCTGGTGACCGAAATAATTTTTTTGCTGCCCATTATGGCCCTACCTTTTTGCTTGTCTGCTGAAAACTGTTTTATTTAGATATTGATTACATTTATTTCCTGAACTTCTCAACAATTAATTACAAGAATGTGAATTCGTATCTTGCTCTCTGTTTTATGTTTCTTCTTTCTTTAAGATGTTTCTACATCTTCCTGTTCTAGGAATAAAAGGAGTTTACTCTTCAAGGACAATTCAAGGTGCAACCAAATTTTTATGCCACTATACTACTGACCTAAGTCCAAGGTAAACTAGCATGTTTTGAGTGCGTTAACTTTTTAGCTTTTGTGTTTTTTCGCAAAGAAAAAGGGACTTCAGGAAAATTCGATGTCTTTGCTTGAATATATCTATTTAGACCAGGTTACTGGATTTTTTTGCATGTCTTCAAGTAGGAAAAATGCAAATCTTTACTCTATTTTGTATATACATGATAGAAATCGGCTTCATCCCTGGTTTCTCTTGCATTAGAATTGTGAATAACAAAGTTTGTAATTGTAACATTGCAAAAAATTTCTAGGATAATAAGGGAGTAAAGATGCTGTATTAGGCCTTTCGAGAATGGGCGACTTAGGTTAAATTTTTCCCAAAAAGATCTTTGGAGACTTAAATGAAAAAGAGGAAAGGAAGTGGGTCAAGTCCTAGAAGACTGAAATCAAAATATTAAAGTTGGCGGAATTCGATGAATCGACTATAAAGCCAGTGATAAAGGCATTAATTAAGGTTGATCTTATTCTCCCCCACAGCAATGAGTCACTTGAGGGAAGCGTGACGACTACACCTTGAGTTCATTTTTTAAGCACCTCGCCCACCTATTCCACAGTGCTTGGAAATTGGGGATTTTATATATTATTTATTTATTTATTTTTATATTGACTGGAATTACAATGAATGTAGGGGGGAAAAAAAAAACGAAGATGGGGAATTCTACATAAACGCAAATAAGAAAGATACAGGAAGATATGCAAATAAATTAGCAGTAAAACCCCTCCAGCATTACAACCTAAGTTGGTTGTAGCCTTTTGTATTCACATTATTTTGGGCATCTTCTTGTCTCACCATCTGCTTCTTAGGTTGCTCAGCTGTGGGTAAACAGGTTCTGCAAGTGTGCTGCTAGCTTCTTCTGATCAGGGTCAGAGTATAGATGATGTGCCGTTTGTTGTCTATGCAACTTCTTGGCACAACTGTCATGTTACTGGAGGTCATGGGTTTGACACAGAAAACAGCCTCTCCGCATGCAGAGGTAAGGCTGCGTAGATCAAACCTTCCCCAGACCCCACAGTGGCGGGAGCCTCTTGCACCGGGCTAGCTCTTTTTTGTTTTTGTTTTTGTTTTTTTTTTTTTTTTTTTTTTTTTTTTTGTTTTTGTTTTTATTTTTTTTATCTAGCTTCAAAGTCAGGTTTAAAATGTACTGAGGCTGGAGCTGTAAGTTGCTGATCACATTTCATGCGAAATATAAGATAGCTAAATGTGAATTAGGGTGTTGTGTATGGAGCTTTACATGTTGATAAGAGGAACCATATATCCACTTGTGCTTTGGTGCAGACACAGACAGACAGACAGACAGACAGACAGAGAAAGGAGGGGGGGGGGGGGGGGGGGGGGGTGTTGGGTGGTATGGTGGTTTGTTAATGGGGTGAGGAGGATTAATTGTTGGCTATTGGCTCATATTTAATTAGGCTATTTAGGCACACTTGTGTATTGCTTTCATGGACAGCTAGGCCACATGTCACGACACCACACAGGCATGTTGATTCGGCGAATCAAGTAGAATACAGACACCGTAATGACACAACAACAAAGAGATATGTTTTGTTCATATATAAAAATTATATTATATGCAACAGATTAATTTATGATAAGTAAATATAATATTATATAACAGCATCAAGTTTGTGGCTCATAAATTTTAATAATGATCTCTCTTGTCTTGTGGATAAAGAGCTAGTAAGGACACACCATAGATTTGTATGTAAATGTGGATATGTATGTGATGAATGCCTTTCGAATTTTTCTATATATTATTTCTATGTTTTAATTATGGCCAAATTCTGTATAAATATTTATAAATATTAAATTTCCTTTTCTCATGTAATTATATTGTTTTCATACTAAAAAAAGTGATATCCAACATTTGAGTTTCCTGTTCACACGTGGGTGATTTCCAAAAAGTGTTAGTTATATGTTTAAAATTACGAGCTTTCTTTTTTCATAGATATGTCCGAGATGTGTAACGTGTTAGACTCATGACTAGGAGTGTCCCAAAAGTTTTGGTGTCCAACATTGGTACCACTCCTCATAAGAAGTGTATGTGCTTCTTAGATTGTTATAGCACTGATTTTCTCAGTATCTCTAGGTGTCCTATGCCACCCAGCATCTATTCCAGATTTAAGGAACCACCTCAGCTTGTCCCCCAATTATAGGTACCTGTCCAAGTACCTTATAATGACCCTGCCAACATCACTGCGCGAAGCCGTGTTGTTGGCAAGCACTGGACCTTTCTGTAGAACAGTCCCCCAGGAGATGCCTCTGAGCAGGAGTAGGCTTTGAACCTTAACTGTAAGGGTGCTATTCATAAATGCCTCACTTTGAGGAATGTGGTATTCTGAAATGTTCTCAAGGTTCGTCCACTCATAATTACACAAGTTTGTTGTTTTAAGAGATGGATGTTTCTTTGTTAGTCTTCCCTTCGGGGAGATTGAGTAGATGTAATGATGTGAAACCATGTGGCAATCGTTTGGTTAGTGATGCCACTATACTTCCATGTGTCTGAACATGTTGCAATCCCTGGACTCAATCTTCAAGTGACGGAAGAACTGATCATATTTTTCACTCTTAAGAGTTTAAAGGCATTAATTAGGTACCCCAAACTGATGGTTGACATGGGTTTGGTAGTAGTGCCCTGAAGCAAGAATTATTTTAAGGACACTTTCTTCATGTATATAGTGTGTTTATTATAATAATAATCCTCGGGTGTGATTAGGGTTAAGTACTGGTACTTGGGTTTTGGATTGATAGGCAGAAGCAGGAAGCTTTTATTATACCGTAACTCTTTTGGGTTTGAATCTCACTCTCCTTTGTGGAAACAGGCACATTGTAGATCAAACCGAGCTTGCAGTCTTTTGTATCTTTATTTAACTGCTTTATTTATATGGCTTTGTGGTTTTCCCCATGGTTTGTTGTTGCGGTCTTCATGTCTAAACTTTATTCAGCTTTATGGCCCTTGTACTCATGTCTATATGTCTTCGAAATCTAATTGTCTGTTGGTGTTTTGTTGCCAAGAAGGGAGCATTCCTTCTAAAGAAAATGATATTCTCATTAGAATTAGGAAATGACCGCTCCGTTCTAAAGAAAATGATATTCTCATTAGAATTAGGAAATGAAATTTTATCTATTCCTTTTGGTGATAAGATGGGATTTATTCCACTTGCTAACTTTGCAATTGGGATTTCATGCCACAATCTCACAGTTGGTGATCTCTTGTGTCTGGACCCTTTTTTGTTTGTGTGGATTCTACTCGGCCTTTGATTTCTGAGTCCATCTGGTGGGTCAACTGCTTGGTTCTTGTTAGCCAAGATATGATAGGCGCAAATCATGGGATGTGACTTACCATATTATCGGGGATATGATAGCCACAAATCATGGATTTGACTTTATTTACGCATATGTCTAGGCATAGAATATGCAATGATTTTATTTAGTTTCCTTTTTTGTAATATTAATATGTGCTCTTTTTAGTATATAAATATGAGAGTTGTGAATGAGTGTTTATACATCTCTTTCAAACCTTTTACATATTACTCCTCTTTCTTCTATATTATATTTCTTCTTGGTATCGGAGTCAGGGTGGTCTGACTGCAATGAGGGCATTGCAAGTTCGGCACCACCCATTTGAGAATGGTCTAAGGAGACATCCCCCATCTGGCCATTCAGAAATGGTCTGAGACGTGGTTGTTTTTTTTATGGTCTGAGGAGACATTATTGATTCTTTTATCTACATTATTTAAACATATGTATGAAGGGGAATGGTTTGAGGAGACACTGTTGATTCTTCTATCTACATATTTTTAACATGTGTATGAAGGGAAATGGTCTGAGGAGAAATTGTTGGTTGTTTACGGTCTGAGGAGACATGGTTGGTTGTTTTGGGTCTGAGGAGACATTGTTGAATGTTTATGGTCTGAGGAGACACTTTGATTTGTTGATCGGCACTTCATTTGACAGAAAAACATTGCTAATCAGATTTGCACGTGTTGGCAAGACCGTGTTTAATGATGCATTGTCCAAGTTAGGCGTCTCAGACATCCACGCACCAACTTGAGGGGGAGTGTTAGCCGAGATCTGATAAGCCCAAATCATGGGATGTGACTTACCATATTTTCTGAGATATGATAGCCACAAATCATGGATTTTACTTTATTTACACATATGTCTAGGCATAGAATATGCAATGATTTTATTTAGTTTCCTTTATTGTAATATTAACATGTGCTCTTTTTAGCATATAAATATGAGAGTTGTGAATGAGTGTTTATACATCTCCTTCAAACCTTTTACATATTTCTCTTCTCTTTCTTCTATATTATATTTCTTCTGTTCTGGCCTCCTCTATTAGGCTAGTTTGTCTTGTTTTTAATCCTCCATTTTGTTTGTTCCCACTTGGAGATTGTATCTGTCATAGTGTGGAACGTATGTGGCTATTAAATTGATGTTGAGTCATTTATGGTTCATCACAGCCGTCAACGTTTTGCTGCCAAGTGTTAATTAGACTTTGTGGCCGATCTCATGCACACATACGCATGCACCTTCCTTTCTTGCCATTGTAAGACCCTTCCTAATCAAATCCTTTTTCCTCTCATTCTCTAATCACACTCTGTATACGGTAGTAAAAAAAGAACTTAAATAATTCTTGCCTCATGCGACCATCTCTTACCATTCTTATTCCCATGCTAGATTTTGCTGAATGAATGGAAGCCATTAAGGGGACTTTTGTCACAAGAGTTGAACTACCGGTTGGATCACAATATAATTGTATATTTACTTGTTTCATCTCATGGTTATTGAAAATCCTGTATATTTACTTGTTTCATCTGTTGGCTATTGAAAATCCTCTTATCCACCGTATACGTTTATAGCACATGAGCTGATTTTCTGCATAGATGTCCATGAGTGGTACAGAATTTGGATGACTAGTGTCATCACATGGCCTAATTCACTATAGGTCCTTCTTAGAGGTAGTATTTTTGGAGGGCTGTTCTTCCCTTCTATTGAATCAGTTGGTACTCTGTGTAGGAAAAATTGCAAGGGCCCTAGGAAGTAGTTGATATATGCAACAAGTTATTTCATATTTACAGGAAACGTATAGCATTTTTGAACAATCTAGCATCTGTTGCTAAACAACAATCTTTTGGGCGAGCTGGATTGATGTGCTTTGCAGAATGCATTGCTTCAGCTGCTTGTGGGGTTCAAACTGACAATGGCAATGAAGTGGAATGCTGTAAAGGTGCTTTCCCTGATATGGTCCAAGTAGAATCTGATCCAGGAAGTTCTTCTCACAGTGCAAAAACAGATTTAGTGGAGGATTTGAGATATGTTATTGAGACCAGCAAACGACATTTCAATTCTAATTATCGTCTTCGAGGTATCTAATTATTACTGTGGTTATTTACTCGGCAATCTGTAAATTTGCCATAGCATGGTGATCCTGAAACTTTTATTGTATGAGAATCAGTTTGTGAGAAAGTGCTGGAGGCTGCTGCTTCAGTAATATGTGCATCTGAGTTATCTCTTGAGATTCTTCTGCACTTTATTTCGATTCTGCCGCGGGAGTTTACTGATTATGGTGGTATGTGAAATATATTTGACTTGCTACTGCATAATTACTCTTGGATTCCACCTTTTCTTCTGATATTTCTTTCTTTCTATATGTTTCCACTCTAGGTTCATTGAGAATAAAAGTACACAAATGGCTTTTGGCGTGTGGTGAGAAGCACCGTCTATCTAATTTCTGTTGTCCTAAGGTGCAACTTTTGAAGAATATATGTGATTTCCCTAGAAATTTTACAAGTCATGATCATTCACTCAGTGGTTCTGGTACTTTTGATGACGAAGACTTGGATGCTTGGGCATTTGAGGCAGAAAGATGGGCAAGAGTTCTATTCCTTGTTATCAAGGGGGAACATCATATAGATCCTATATTGACGGTTTGCCTTCTTTATGTCTGCTGATTTTGAATGTTTTATTTTGTTTTTCTAAGCATACACTTTTCTGTCACTTGTTCTCGGGATTGTCAGTGATTTAAATTGTTACTCAAATTAACATCAGATCTTAGTAATGATATCTGATTCTTGTTGTTTAATGTGCCACGGCCAGGAGAATTTGAATGCCACTAGGTGAGTGTGTCAGTTTGACTTGCTTCACATGACAGGAGCAGAATATTATTGTTTCAATTTTGTCGAGAAAGTAAAACTTATAATTTGTGCTGCTTGCACCTCATCTGATGTTGTATTCTTTAATTGTTTTCAAGTCTTAGTCTTTGAACAGATGCTGATGGTTGAAATTTAGCAGCTCAATTTCACCTTTTGTTGAACACAGCTCTATAATGCTTTACTTGTACTAACATTGTTATTATAGTACAAGCAGACAAAAAAGTGTACTTTGTGTCTCGTGTTGATTCTCTTAAACTGTTGAATGTGGGTGGTCTCATGATTTTACTGTACAGTCATGTCCAATAAGAGTCATCTATTGCATGTTTCAGTTATGTCAAATATGCTTCTAATGATGAATAATATCATGTATATTTTAGAAAATATGTTGCATGTATCATCTTCCATTGAAATGCACAAATTCAATTGTTGGATTTAAACCTACTTTTTGAACTTCAATCTTTTACTTGAGCAATGAATATGAGAGACACATAAATAGTCCAACATTTGTGATTTTGGGGTAAGCACCATACCACGCACCAATCTCCATTCCTCATACCACATTGATCCACATTGTTAGTATATTCGATTTGGTTTCTTGAATCTATTCAAGGAATTGCTGTAATTTTCTTAGACACCAATTTATGCCCTTCATGGCTGAAACTCTTTGATAGTCATTGGCACATAATTAGTAACATCACAAATCACATAAGTTTTGGCATTCTGTCCTGTGTCTTCTCTCTTCCTCTCAAGTGTTTTCCTTTGTTTCTTTGGCATCTGCACAACAAGGTTTCTTTAGTTATTCTCTTTATGTGATTATGTAATGCTCGGGATCTGATTGCTGTGTGACTGTGTATTGCTCAGGGGCCTCCTTTGTCAAGTTAAATGATTTTGCGTTTTGACAGTATTAAACAGTTTTTCCACTTAAGATTCTTCTTTTTGCTATTTACAGGCAGATTACTATATTTTTAAAGAATTAGGTATTGGTATCGGTTTGCCATTTCTGTCTTCAAGAGGTTTTGATACTTGATTAAATTTGTTTTTGTAGTTCATTAAAAATCATGGTGTTGATGGCAAACGAACCAAGCATTTGGAGTGGGTACCTGTGAGGTTTCTCATCCTTGTCTTGAGTTTAATTCAAGAACTTCAAATAATTCAAGAGCGAATGGCTGTCTGTGGTATAAAACGAAGAACCAGATTGGAACTTGGATTGCCTGAGATAGTGGATCATTTGAGTTCTGCAGAAGCTTCCGTAGTTGTGGAGAATTTTACCGAATTATTATTTTCTATATTGGTACAGAGCATCGGGTGCTAAGCTCTCTCAGTTTTCTTTCCCTTTGTGCTGTTTGATAAAATTGATAATTAATCGCTGAAAATTTTGAGAGTTAAATTTTATTCGAGTAATAAATTTGCAAATTCAGCGATAAGTAAACTTCAATTTTTTTGTTTAATTCAATAAAAACTTTACACAGATTCTCATTAAATGTATTCAGTGATAGTTCTATTCACTTAAAAATTTGACTCATAAGTTTCTAAGTGAATCTTAATTTTTTTTTTTTTTAAGTGACACTTCAATGCAAAATCATTTAATGCGTCTAGGTTTTAAGTGCTGACTCAGTTTATCAAACAGCATCTAGTATCTATGTACCAAGGTTTTGTATTACTTGTTTTCACGGTTCTGTGTATGATTTTTGTCTGTGTTCAGGAGGAACTCATCTCATTTGCGAGATCTTCTAGTTTAATTTTCTGGTCCAATATGGTGGATGACACATTTCTGCCATGTTCCATTAGAGGAAAGCTTGGAGGCCCAAGTCAGCGTCGATTGTCGTCGTCCACCACTACTGCTGTGCTTCAAGCTGTATGGCTCTTTCCACTTTTTGGTGTCCTTGTTTAATAAATCTGATCCTTAGTACTACTGCTGTGCTTCAAGCTGTATGGCTCTTTCCACTTTTTGGTGTCCTTGTTTAATAAATCTGATCCTTAGTATTTCAGTAATCTTTAAAAAAAAAAAAATCTGATTCCTTAGTAAATTATGTATATTTTTGTGCATAGTTCTCAATGAGTTATTTTTTAGTTAATTAAATCTATGAGTGGGGGTATCATTCCTGCAACCCGGCCAAAAAAAAAAAAAAAAAAAAAAACCTGATTATATCATATATGGTGCATCCTGGGTGAAACTAAAGGAATGGTTTTCTTGGCCATATGGTGCTGCCACAGTTTCGTGATCCATTCTGCTGATGATGGAAGACTACTATTCACTTATTTACTTTTTGATAAACTAACTACTAATACTTGATCTTACTGGAAAATTGTTTTATGGTCGACTATCTGAAGCAATACAGAATTTACTTTTGACGGTCTCTTGTTTTCTATACTGCGTTGTAAATTTTTATAATATTGTTCCATGTTTTTGCAAATTTTAACTTTGTTGCTACAAGGTTTCTAATATCCTGTAACTGATTTTGTTTGTTAATTCTTAGGTGCTTTGTTATTGGGATCAAATTTTAGGAATTGTTGTTACTTTAATCAGAGTGGCCCCTATGGATTAAAGTTGACAAATTTATCACTCCCTTTCCAATTTCAACATTGTGATATGCAGTCCTGTAACAATGAGATTGTTCGTCCTTTTACGAATTTTCTTTCCCATTGGTCATCACGCACCGGGTTACTATTGCTTATACTTAAATTCACTAGCTTTGTAATTTTCATCTTTCTTCCTTATGGATAGATAACATCTGTGAAGGTTGTCGCGTCCATCTCATTGTGGTGTTCAAAGTTTAGAAGTGATGTTCTGCTGAATTTTGCTTTCAATTTTCTGTGGCAATTCTTCTGGAAGATTGTTTCATCTTCAAAATATGATTCAGAGGTATTGTTTAAATGTATGATTTTATTCTTGTAGACGTTTGAAATTTTGTATCATAATTCTTAATTTGAATCAGAATTCTTAATGGTCTTCCACTTTAAATTTGTTAGTGGATTTTAGCTTCTTTCACTAATTGTTTTAATTGGCCCAGTATAGACTGAAGCTGAAATCTTTCTAGCGTCGTATGAAGCATTAGCTTATGTTTCAAAAGCCCTTGCGTCCACGTTCTCTTCCTTTTCCTTGAATCTTCTTATGGAAAATGATAAACCATCAACACCAGTTGCAGAGAGCAGACCTTTGCTGGATTCCTTGGTTATAACTTTTCTTCAAAACATCAATAATCTAATTGCAGTTGGAAAACTGGTGCGAAGTCGAAGGGCAATTTTGATTAATTGGAAGGTAATTAACATTTCCTGATTACTTTTAGTTTCCCCTTTGTGTATGTATATTTGCTGGTTCTTCTCTACTTATGCATGTATTCACGCAGAGTTTAATGATTTGGCATTTCCAAACTTTTTGCCAAAGCATTTGATAATTAGAAACACTATGATAAAGTGGTCTATCATGGCGGTATCTATATCTTTCTTTTTTTTTTTTTTTTCTGTGGGACTGATGGTATGTATTTATCATTTGTGTTATTCTCTTATTTGTTGTGAACAAAATTTGTACCTATTTTCTTCTTCAATTGACCTCTTCTATTTCCTAGTGCATCAAAGTTATTTTGGACTTATACTATTGCTTGCCTTCAGTCTCATGCAGCCATCAACTAGTAAGTTACTTTTACATATTGTTTTTGATTATGGCCATTAGGGTGCTTGTCACATCTATAAGGGGTGATAGGAGTGGAAAAAGGAAAGAGACCTAACTTTGGAAGCTTTGCACAAAGGGACTGCTCTCTGGTTGAAACTTTTACTCACCCTTGACATCCTGACATTTTACCATTGCACTAAGCAGTGGCCCCAATATCTAGCTGCTGACGATGCATTATAATCATCTAAAGGTTCTAACTTTTATCTCTTCTGATTGATTCAGTGGATCTGCATGGAGTCTCTGTTGTCAATTCCTACTTCTGCTCTCATGAATGGAGTTCGTCTAGAAAGTGGTTATTCTTTCTTCTCCGATGCTACGGTCAGATGGATTTTTAGTGACCTTGTTGATAGGTAAGCCACAGGATGACATTACATTCATCAGTTCTGTTACAATATTTCTTCTACAGTATATTTCCTTCAGAAAGTATTTAAAGGGACAGTTAGGCAGTACTTTCTTTATTTGTGCCCTACTGTAGCAGTCTGTTCTTATTCTTTTATATAAACATAGCAGTTCTTTTGGTTGTTTATTCAGATGTTTATACACACGCAAAGACTGTAGGACATTATCCATTGTTACTTCCTGTTAATCTATGGTGCAAGGAGGGGGCATTCAACATTGTTTGCCCAAAGCGGCTGTCCTCAGAAATTCTTCTTTTCAACAAGTTGTATGCCATGAGATCAAAATACTTATGCACTGAAGAAACTATAAATAATTGAGACAACTGACAAGTAGTCTCCTCCATGAAGAAGGAAAATAGGGGAGAGCTTCTTTCTCTAGAATTCTAGAGGGAGTGCTCTCCATGAATTATCATGCCTACCCTTTCCCCCTTCCCCTTCCCCTTCCTCCTTCCTTCCATCCTTATGCTCCCCTTTGGATCCTGTTGATCACTCACTCCCCCAGTGGTCGATCATCGCCTCCTTTTAAGGGCTTCATATGAATTTCGGCTGTGTCGCTTTCTCCCATGCCTGGAACATGGTGGAGGTTATCATGGTGGTCCGATTCTTTTAACCTGTTTGGGTTCTTCCTCTCTTCTCTTCTTTGGTTTCATTACTCATATCACCAGGTTGATCACAACAATGAATTTGAGAGGTGCTTTCCTGAGCTGTTTGATAGGCAGACATTGATATACTCGTTGAAATGGCATTCCATGGGGCCATGGATGTGAGTTACAGATGCCAGCCAAGTCAAACTTCTTAATCCAAGCTTATGAACTTGATGCTAGAATGCTGTGGTAGTTATGGTCATGGATGCAAGATTTAGAACGTTCACTGGTTTCTTGTATTGGAGAGGGCGTTTGAGAGGTTAGTTGTGGCTTTCAGGTGGAGTTTGCACACCTTTCTGGCCACTGAGGAAGCCATTCAGAGATGTGCTTTTCCTACCCAGTAAACGGGCTTTGATGTTCAGTAACGGGCTTTGGTTTGTTCCATGGTCATTGGGTATGTGCATGTTGAAGCTCCAATGATTCGGTAACATGGTAGTTTGAAGGTTGAAGATGATCATATACTACACATGGTTTGTGTGTAAATCTCAACAGTTTTTTTTTTTTTTTTGGTAGGGGAGTTCATTTGATCCGTGAATCCGATCTAATCCAATCCAATCCCTGCGGATCGGATTGGATTTTTAGCCTGACGGTTTGGGGACGGATTCATAAATTAGGAATCCGTAGGATCGGATATGATCATGATTAATGTCTCCAAAATGCAATCCAATCCGTTACAAATATATTATGTACAAATATTATATATATATATATATATATATATATATATATATGATACGGACTATGGAGTAATAATTTTAACCCTAAACCTAAACCCCCCCTATATTATATACAGTTACATATATTTGTTCTACTGTTATGTTACTGGATAGTATGTTTAGTGAGGGGAACTTCAACTTGTTTTCCAGTTTATTTGGGTAGTTGGGTTTCATAGCTTGCTGTATCATTTGTGTAAGTTTGTGGCTGTTTTGGCTCCAGTATCAAGTTCTCAAACCTCACTTGTTGGATGTGTTGCAGTAACATTGTTTGGGTATGATGCCAGTGCTCAGGACTCATAGCCTGTAGGCCTGTGACGAATTTTTCTGGGTTTTGTATTGAGGATGTTTGTTAGCTATATTAATCCTGTATTACTCCTTTATTTTTTCTGGGTTTTATTTTGCAAGTAATAAATGATTTGTTCTACTATTATGCAGAAAGTTCCCAAGTGAAGCATTTAGATTACTGAATACTATTATGCAGTTGGATCATTTTTTTAATTGGATTGGTTTGGCTTGAGAAGCATTTATTTTAATGGTATAACGGAAAAAAAAATTATGAGGCTGTTTAGAAAGCCCAATCCAATATTTTACGGATTGGATCAGATTGGATTAAGCATTCCCAAGGATCGGATTGGATTGAATTTTCACCAATCCATGGGTATTGGATTGGATTAGGTTTTGTTCAAAATCATATGAAAGAGAGAGAGACTGTATCTTGTATATGACACATTACAGACCTAATAAGCCTATACAGGCTTATATAATGATTACAAGTCTTACTTAATAACACAAGGGCCCTATCAACTTTTTGTAATTACATAATGACCCAACACTTATATATATATATATAACATTCTAACACTCTCCCTCAAGCTGGAGAATATATATCAAATAATCCCAGCTTGGAACAGATAGTTCTTAACCGGTTATGACCCAATGCTTTGGTAAACATATTAGCTAATTGATCTTTAGACTTCACAAATGGAGTAAAGATGCTCCCACTTAATAGTTTTTCTCGAATGAAGTGACAATCAACTTCAATATGTTTGGTCCTCTCATGAAACACAGGATTTGATGCAATGTGAACTGCTGCTTGATTATCACAGAACAATGGAGTAGGAGCTTTAACTGTCAACCCAAGTTCTTTTAGAAAATGTTGTATCCATGTTAACTCACTAGTGGTATGGGCCATTGCCCTATACTCAGCTTCAGCACTAGATCGAGCTACCACCGTTTGCTTTTTACTTCGCCATGTAACGAGATTTCCTCCTACAAATGTGCAGTATCCTGTAGTAGATCTCCTATCTGAAGGAGAACCAGCCCAGTCAGCATTTGTAAAACCTTCCACCCTGAGATGACCATTTGATTTATATAGTAACCCTAAACCTGGAGCTTGCTTGAGATATCGGATAATCCGAAGAACAGCAATCCAATATGGCATTCTAGGGACTCCCATGAACTGACTTACAACACTAACTGCATATGAAATGTCAGGTCGAGTGATAGTGAGATAAATTAATTTCCCAACAAGGCGACGAAATCTGCCTGGGTCATTAAATAGATCACCCTCATCAGACACAAGTTTTGTATTTGAATCCATAGGAGCATCAACCGGACGACCACCCAACATACCTGTTTCTTCTAATAAGTCCAACACATATTTCCGTTGGGATAAACTTATACCCTTCTTGGATCTAGCAACTTCAATACCCAAGAAATACCTAAGTTTACCCAAGTCTTTAGTGTAGAATCGATATTGCAGAAACAACTTCAACTTTCACCTGTGATCACAATATCATCTACATACACCACAAGAAATATGAAGCCAGCTTTAGTGCGCTGGTGAAACACTGAATGGTCGGTCTGACATCTGTTAAGACCAAATTGTAATGCCGCCTCAGAGAATTTTCCAAACCAAGCCCGTGGAAACTGTTTTAATCCATACAGGGCCTTTTTAAGGCGACAAACAGTGTGAAGATACTCCCCCTGAGCAACAAACCCAGGTGGTTGCTCCATATAAACCTCTTCTGCTAAGTCACCATGCAAAAAAACATTTTTAACATCTAACTGAAACAGAGGCCAATGTCGATTAGCAGCAATAGAAATCAAAACACGAATAGAAGAAATCTTAGCAACGGGGGCAAATGTCTCATCATAGTCAATACCATAAGTCTGGGTATAACCTTTGGCAACAAGATGTGATTTTAGACACTACAGACCCATCTGGAAGATACTTCACAGTATATACCCAGCGACAACCAACAGGCTTAGTTCCCGGAGGTAATTCCACGTGCCATTCTTATGCAAAGCATCCATTTCATCTTGCATTGCTTTCCTCCAGCCCGAATCAGACAAAGTATCCTGCACAGTCTTAGGAACAAATGTAGTTGACAACTTAGAGGAAAAACATGAGAAAGATGGCGATAAGGAATTATAAGAGACATACTGAGCAATGGGATGTTTAGTAACACACGAGCGAGGAGCTTTACGAAGTGCAATAGGTAAGGAATCAGACACAGTGGACGGTGTAGGATCCAAAGACTCTGAAGACGATGGAGGAGGCACGACAGCAGATGGCTTTGGTCTTCGAGTGTACACCTGTAACGAGGCAGGCGAAGGAACCAGAGATCGTGGTTGAAGAGAAAGTAAGGGAAGAGGAACTGCAAAAAGAGATGACTCAAGAGTGATATCAAGAAGTAAATCAGTATCTAAAAAATATGGGACGGATTCACAAAATGTGACATCCGCGCTAATAAAGTACCGTTGAGAAATAGGACTATAGCAGCGATAACCTTTATGAGAACGAGAGTAGCCAAGAAATACACACTTTATGGCACGTGGGTCTAGTTTGTCAAAACAAGGACCAAGATTGTGGACATAACATACACATCCAAAAACTTTCGGAGGAAGAGAAAACAAGGGAGAATCAGGAAATAAAATAGAATGTGGAGATTTGCCATCTAATACAGATGACGGCATATGGTTAATAAGATGACAGGCAGTAAGAACAGCATCACCCCAAAACCGTTTAGGCATACGCATATGAAACAAGAGAGCACGAGTTACTTCTAAGAGATGTCGATTCTTACGTTCTGCAACTCCATTTTGTTGAGGAGTATAAACACATGAATTTTGATGAATAATTCCTTTATCACTAAGATATGTATCAAATGGAGTTGAAGAATATTCCTTAGCATTATCAGAACGTAGAATACGAATGGGACATCCAAATTGAGTTTTGATTTCTTTGCGAAATTTTTGAAAAATTAAAAACAACTCAGAACGATCTTTCATTAGAAACAACCAAGTCAGGCGAGAATAATCATCCACAAATGTCCCAAAATAATGAAATTTATTGATTGAAGAATGTTTTATTGGACCCCATACATCTGAATGAACCAAATGAAAAGGACTAGAGACACGATCATTAACCCTAGACTTGAAAGACACGTGATGGTGCTTACTAAGTTGACAAACTTTACATGAAAAGAATTTCAAATGACTAAGACTAGGAACTTGACGCTTCAAAACTTGAAGTGACGGGTGACCAAGTTGACAGTGCCACTGGAATGGAGACAGAGAAGACTGAAGAGCTACAGGATAAGGTTCGAAATCAAAATAATATAAGCCACCAGCTTCATGTCCCCGTACCAATCGTCTTCTTCGTCTTGAGATCCTGAAACACACAAGAAGTAGGATCAAATGTAACAGAGCACTGGAGAGATTTAGTAAGCTTACTGATAGACATTAAATTAAAGGGAAACTACGGAACATGTAAAACGGACAAGAGAGACAATGAATCACTAAGTTGAGTTGTCCCCAAACCTGAAACCTGAGTGGAGGAACCATTAGCAAGAGTAACTCCTTGAGAAGGAGGTACAGAATGAAAATCAGATAGAAGAGAAGAACATCCCGTCATATGATCAGATGCTCCAGTGTCTATGATCCAAGGACTGCGAGTGGAAGACAATAGACATTTGTGTGCAGTACCTGACTGGGCAAAGGTAGCTGTGGAAGATGAATTAGATGTTTGCTTATAAGACAAAAACTGAGTATACTCATCCCGTTGAACAGGGACCGTATCTGATTCAGCCACGTTGTGAGATTCAGAAGCAACATCATTCGGAGAAGAGGAAACTTGATTTGCATAACTAGATGGTTTCCCATGAAGGTCCCAACAAAAGTTCACAGTATGATTAGAAAGACCACAATGAGTACATTTTCTTAATTCCCTGCCACGGCCACGTCCTCCTCATGAATCACGACCACCACGTGTGGAGCGTTCCCCACGACCTCCACGGTAAGCATTATGTTCACCCTTGGAAACTACCAATGCTGAACGCTCACTACTCTGTTCAGCATTCAAATTTGATGTATCACTTGCTAGTGTAGCACGCTGAAGGCGAGAAAACACCTCAGCAAGAGAGGGAAGTGTTGGACTGCCCATAATTTGTGCACGAAAAGGCTCATATGCTGATGATAAACCAGTAAGAAAACGGACAACATTAAAGTCCGCACGCTATTGTTGCATACTGCGAACATCAGCAGTAATGGGCTGATATTCAGCTCTTCACAGACTCCCATAACTTTGGAATAATACTCTTCTATACTTTGAGTACCTTGTTTAAGATTGAAGTACTGCTTACAGAGTTCATAGACACGAGTGATATTACCTGTCCCAGAATACAATTGCTGCAATTTGTCCCATATCTCCTTGGCAGTATCCAAATAAAGTAACGTAGAACTGATTTGGGGTTCAATGCTGTTTATCATCATAGAGAAGATTTGCGCATCTTCCTTTTCCCATGCATCAAAAGAAACATCAGTTGCCTTGAGTTTCTCTTTAGTCAGATGAGTACCAAGACCTCTGCCTTTGAGAAAAATGGCAACAGATTTAGCCCACAGTATGTAATTCTTCCCATTGAGTTTAACTGAAGTCATGGGAGAATGAAGACTGTTCGTGGGAGAAAGCAAATCTGAACTGGATGCCATGGTGAATCTAGCAAAACAGAGAAGAAAGGAAAAAAAATAGCAGAATCTGTATTTTAGCCGAACCTGGAAAACGGGCCGGATCTAAGCTATCCCAAGTTTAGTAAACCAGGGTTGGAATAGCTATATCCGTGTAGCCAAACATGGGTCTTCTTCTTCACACCTTCACAGATGCTGGTGAACAACGCAGCGGAGACGATGACAACCCACTCACAATCAACGGCCGAATCAATAAGCAGTGATCGCAAACCGAGACTGTAGATGTCGGCGAATCAAAAGGATGAACCTCACCTCTGCAAATCGAGACTATCGATGTCGGCGAGATCGCTGAAGAACAGAGAAGAGCTGCTGGTGACGACGAACAAGGCAAATACGACGACGACCAAGCTGACGACGACGGTGAACAAGCTGAAGACGACGACCGAGGCTGTAGATCTGACGACGACGGTGAACGATCTTCAGATCTGACGACGAACAAGGAACTTCCAAGATCACCAACACCACAATCGCGATGCCGATTTAATACAATAACAACCCAATTATAGACTCTCACACCCATGATCGCAGCGCTCTAATACCATGTTCAAAATCATATGAAAGAGAGAGATTGTATCTTGTATATAACACATCACAGACCTAATAAGCCTATACAGGCTTATATAATGATTACAAGTCTTACTTAATAACACAAGGGCCCTATCAACTTTCTATAATTACATAATGACCCAACACTTATATATATATATAACATTCTAACAGGTTTAATGCCTAATCTGATCCGTGTTCACCCCTAGCATTTTTGAGTGCGCTCCACATGAAGTCAAGGTCCGTTGCAATCAGGGTTGTGATATTTGTAGGCAATGTGTTGGGCTTTGCGCCTAACATTAGCCTTTGTGGAATTAGTTTTTGAAGTGCCACCAAAATGTGTTTGGTGGTTTTACTTATAAAAAAAAAAAAAAGAAGTTTTTTAAGTGCCGCCAAAATGTGTTTGGTGGTTTTACTAATTAAAAAAAAAAAAAAAAATGGAAGAAGAAGTGTTTGGTCGTTTCATGTTGGTGCCTCTTGCATGGACTGCCCAGTCAATGATCGGTGTTATTTGCACTGACTACGTTGCAAACCTAGATCTAATGCTTATTTTAAAATTCAAAATTTGGATCAGGTAATCTTTGGTGGATATTTGCTGGAATGATCCATGTTGGCCCAGTATAAAGTTTAGCGTTTTTGGGTCTCTCTATATGGGTCTTGTTCTTTCTGACTTGCTGGCCCATTAATGAAGAGTGCCTGACAACTATTTTTTTTCTTTCAAGGATATACCCTTTCTTTGGTTGTGTTTTTACTTAACCTAATCTCTCAGGTTGTGAGGTATCTTTTAGATTAGGGTAGGCGTGTTCTAATTGCGAGGGATGTTTGAGCATTTGAGAGTGAACTTCAAGAACTTCACTGTAAATTTTGTACCTTCTTTCCTCCCTGGTTCAATAACTTTCTGTTTACCTACTGAACAACAGGACCAATTGGCTTATTACAGGAATGTTTGCCTCCCCCCATCTGCAGTCATTAACTCTTTTAAAGAGATACCTGTTCTCCTCCATATTATTTTTGTTGTAGTTTCTTAATGACCAAATTTGGCTCCTGTCTAAATCAGTATTTTAAATAATTTGTTTTCAGATATTGATGATTCTTTATGCTCATCTTCTTCCTCCTGAATGAAATTTCAGCCTTGAGAATGCTGGGGAAGGGTCTGTTTTGCACATGCTCAGATCCGTCAGATTGGTATTAGAGCTGTTTGCCTCAGGAAAAACGGGTCCAGTTCTGTCCTCATGTAATGGCGTGGATGCCCAGGTTCTTCCCATTTTACCTGTATAATTTTTTGAAATATATTTATTTATTCTTTAGTTTTTGGCGAGGATGAGACAGATTAATGAAGGACCTGTTTCTATGAGATCATGCAAGAGTGTCAAGTAACTATGATGATGTTCCTTGAGTCTAAAGTTTCTACTATTATTTGGAAGCAGAAACAAATAATTGCATTTTTAATAAGTGCATAAATACTTTTTAATTTTTTATATTACTTTAATTCATCTGTTGGAATCAGAAAGCTTTCAAATATGGACAGTGTCTACTATTCGAGTATGGGCAAGAGAAGAAGAGAGCATGAAAGAACTTGCTACGTTTTGGTACTGTCATTCCCTTTCTCATGTTTGGTAGGTCACAACAAAGTAGGAACACTCGTTTCCTTGGAATGACCATTCCTATAGAATGTGGGGATGACCAATCCTCTTCAAGAGTAAAGGAATGTGTCATGACCCGCACCGCTGTGTGGATATTATTTGCTTTGGACACTCTCCATACTCGCAATTTTCAAAACGTGTCCACACAAAATAGTCACGGCTCAGGATTTATGAACACGTGGGGTTGGCAAGGAGATAGTCTGTTACCGTGATTTGAGATGCCTTTAATGGAATATTGGTGGATTTACTTACATATCGAGGTTAAGTATTTGGGTGGTGTTATTTTAAATCCACTAATCTCATCGTTGTTTGAGGATAAAAATAGTAGATACAGCTGAACGGAGGTCTTAATAATAAGTTAGGACAATTAGATTTGATTACTATAAATTAATTTTGGTTGATTTAATATCACTTAAATGGAAATATGATGGAATAGTGATCTTCCTAATGCATATTGTGATCTTAGACGTTCAGTCATCGAGATTATAAATTGTTTCTTTGATAAAAAATTCGACTCTTGCTAGGAAGTTTTATCAATACCAAAGAGAGTTGCGAAATTGTTGATGATAGTATTAAGTTTAGGGTAGTTGTATGAATGCACAAACTATTGTTATAATTGTGGTATCTTGGCAAAGATTGCCACTTGGGTGAGAGAATTCAACCATTATGTACGAGTTTGATATTAAATAGTTTATTACCAGTATGGGGTTTGCATAAATAATAATAAGTTATGAATAAATTAAGTTGTTGTCCATAAAAATAATTGATCGCTTGAGAGGACAAATGGGAGATGTTTATGCGAATCATGATGATAGGAATGCAACGTGTGGTGTCTGAATGGCACCCACTTGAAAGTAAGAAATAATATCAGGAAGCTTTAGAAATGTATAGAGCTCCATAAAGTTTCATAGAATATTACATAATCATGTATTGCCTTGTGAATATCTTGCATAGTTTGTGTTAAGCTTCTAAAGAACCAATCTTGTCCTTACATTAGATTGATCTTGACTATCCACTAGGGAAGAGAATGTCTATATATAAGGTTGTAGTTCAATCAATCAGCCATAGGTGTTTTAGGTAGAGACCAGGCCTTGGAAAGTTTTAACTTGGAAGTATACATTTTTACAATTTTCGGGGATGATTTTATTTTTTATTTTTTAAAGGAGCGTACAATTTAAAAAATCTAAAATATATATTCATATATAGAGATATATAATAGGGTAAAGCTCAAAAATCCCCCCTGAACTATTGCCCTTTTGCAAATAACCCCCCTAAACTATAAGTTACACCCCCGAACTATCGATTTATTGCAACTAAGGACAAACCCGTCACAAAAGCTATTTTACCCTTTCTCATTAAATTTTTCATTTCTTATTAAATTATTTTATTATTTTTTCTCTTATCTAATATTAATTATACCATTTAATTTTATTATTAGTATCAATTTATCATAAAAATGAAAAAAAAAATTGTAATTTTCATTTTCTAAAATGATTAACTTATAATTAAAACTTTACTATTTATAAAACGTATTATACTTAGTTTAAACTTTTTTACGATAAAAAATACCTTTTTTTTCATACAATATATTCATGAAAAATTAATAAATTACTTAAATAAAAATTAACTTCTTTTTCATGCAATATATTCATGAAAAATTAAGAAATTACTTAAATTGTTTTAAAATTTTCTACTTAAGATTCTTATTTAAACAATGAATTTTAAAATTAAAGATAAATTTTTGCAAATTTAATGGAATATGTCATCAAATTAGTTTGATTTTTTTTTTTTTTTTTTTTTTTTTTCATATTTTTTTTTCAATAAGAAAAATAGATTTAATGTAATTCAATAAGAAATGGTATTATGGTTATTTAATGAAAAATAGTCTAGACATTGGGGCATTTTGCAACAAAATGTGATAGTTCAGGGGGTATTATGCACAAAATTCAGAGGTATGTATTTAAAATTTAAAGAGAATAAGTTAAATGGATAGTATTAGTTGCCGAAGTTCTTTCATGTTGGTTCACATGATAACCACTTAAGTGACCCCCACTAACACTATCATGTTCTCACTAATATCTGAAAGAACAATGTGTTAATGTTGCAACAACGTTAATAAATATAATACACACAAGTTTGGACAAAGCAATTCTAAACGCACTGAAATACCGAACTCTGAAACCTACTGCAATGTTATGGAATCTGAGTCCAATTCTAATCCAAAATATGAACTAGGAGAGTTTCTTGCGTTCACGACTTTCCACTGGGCTGTAAGAGAAATGCACCACCCATGACGTGGGGGAAAGTGAAGTAGATCATTAAGAAGCGTTAGAAAGTAGAGTTTGTTGGTGATCCTAAAATAGAAGAGTTAGTTGGAGAAGAAAACGAGAAGCAACCAGGCAAATGAGATTCTACCCTATTCCATCCAATAGTAATTGTTAATCTTGGGACCCAACGTCTTCGCTGGCCTAACACTCATGAGGTTGTGCACTTTCTCATTTTTGGCGAGGGTTAAGTGCTGCTACCATATGTCACGACCTGCCTCGCTTTATAAATATTGTTCGTTTTGCACACTTTATGTGTTCACAGTTTTCAAAATGCGTTTACAAAGGAGGTGTCCACACATATAAGTGTTGGTGATGCCATATGGAAAAACGAAGAGACTAATAGAATGGCAGAGACTAATAGAATGGCAGAGACAAATAAAGCTTTTGCACATTTTCGTACAACCTCTCCTCCAGACGATGTAGGACATCACAATCACCCCTCTTGGGACCAACGTCCTCGTTGGCCTGACTATCATGGGCTTGTGCATGCTCCCTCCATTTTTGGCTAGGGATTGACTCTGATACCATCGTAACTGAAATAAGGTAGAGTCCTCCTTGCCTGGTTCCTTCTTATTTTCTCCCCAACTAACTCTTCTATTGTAGGATCATCCGAAAATTCTACTTTCTTACACTTCTTAATGATTGACTCCAATTCATCTTGTGTGATGGGTTGTGCATTCCTCCCACAACCCGGTGGAGAGTCACAAACGCAAGGAACTCTCATGAGGTTATATTTTTTATTAAAATTTGTTTGGGGTTCCATAATAGTGCAGTAGAGGTTATCGAGGATGCTTTCAAAGTTTGGCTTCTTAGTGGTTTTAGAAACGTTTTGCCCAAACTAATGTGTTACGACAAACGCAGCGAACCAACCAACTATTAGAAACACGACAGAAAAATAAACACACCACACAAAGAACACAAATATTTATACGTGGTTCGGCTAAGCCTGCGTCGACAGTGGAGATCCGGCGAAAGTCTTCACTGTGTGTAAAATTGGAGATTTTAATTTTCAGCCCCTCACTCTCTCTCTGTACGATTTCTGTGTCTTTGAATTACACCAATCCAAACCCTAAGCACCCTTATATATCGGGCTATAAGAGAGTACTAATTAGGGTACACGACCCATGAGCTAAAACGGGTCAAAAGCTCATCCAATAGGTTGTCGGGTGACCCAACACCAAATTCGGGTCACAACATCACATAATGCATATTATATTTATTAACGATGTTGCGATATTAATACGTTCGACAATGTGATAGCGTTAGTTGGTCAAGTTAGTGATTATTATGTCAACCAACATGAAATAACTTCGACAATAGATACCATCTCTTTTAACTTCTTCTTTTTGAATTTAAATATATACACCTATCTCATATTATGTATCTATATGTGTGTGTATAGATATACATATATTTTGAGTCTTTACATTAAAAATATATGTCGTGACTTGTCCCACTATGTGGATATTGTTCACTTTTCACACTCTCCATGTTCACGATTTTCAAACGCGTCTATATAGTTAGGAGATGTCCATTCGTATAAAAATCTCTCCCTCGGTAAGGTGGGATGTCACAATCACCCCCTTTTGGGACCCGTCGTCCTTATTGGCCTAACCCTAATGAGCTTGTGCATGCACACTCTCTATGTTCATGATTTTTTATTTTATTTATTTATTTTGATAAGTAAGACAATTGTATAGAAGCGCTCCAAAGGGGAGCGAAGCGCTCAAAAGGGGAGCGAAGCCCAAAAGAACTACACAAGGCCAAAAAGGGCCTCTAAACTCTCAAAGAGTCCAAAAAATCAACAATCTCCTCTAAAGATGTATAATTGTTCCCCACAACTCAACAAAAAAGAGTGAAGATAACAGAGAACGTAAGTATAGACATAGGATTCTCCTTTCCTTCGAAAGATCTCCTGTTCCTCTCGAGCCAAATATACTACCAGATACACAAAGGCGTAACCCTCCAAGCATCCCGGACTTGGACCCCACTGTACAACCTCTCTAAGCCTCAATTAACCCTAGAGGATCTAGGCCTGACCCACTGAACCCTAAACAAACCAAGCATCAAATCCCAACAGTCCCTGGCCATGGTGCAGTGCAAAAGGAGGTGATCCATCGTCTCCTCTGCACGAAGGCACATGCAACAATAGTTAACCACCACCTGATTCCTCCTCCTCAAATTATCCTGTGTCAAAATCTTCCCTAAAACAGACGTCCAAGCAAAAAGGCCACCTTGAGGGGGGGCTTGGAGTGCCAAACAGCCTTCCACGGGAAAGGAGCCCCTGGCACCTCCGTAAGACACCTATAGAAGGATCGAATTTCAAAACGACCCTGAGAAGCAGGGGCCCACACCCAAATGATTTACACTGTTGTATAATATTATATATTAAAAAAATATTTATTATTATTATTTAATATTTTATTTAAAATATTACAAATAATACATAGCATTGTATGTACTTATAAAAAAAAAAAAAAAAAAAAAATACGTAGCATTGTATGTAACATGAATTTTATTTGGAGTGAACCGTTCTAGTGTAGTAGTAGTACCATAAATGTTTTTGCACTACAGTGCCAAAAACATATTAAGCATAAAAACGTTTTCCTTTTTTATTTTTATTTTTTTATATATAACAAAAATGAAAAACATTTTCCACTTTTAAAAAGAAAAAAACATATTACTAAACATGATTTCTGTTTTTTTTTTTTTTTTTTTTTTTTAAAGGATTCACAACAGAAAACAATAAACTGAATGCCCCTTAATGAGTCAGAAACTTAATGTAAACTGCAATTTGTGATTGTGTAATTGATAAGTTAAATAACTATATAAGGTGAGCATGGCAGTTTGCATATATGGGAGCTTATGGTGTCATGTAAGCACCTCAAGATAACAAAAAACCCTGTCAAGTTTACAAATACCACTTTTATGGGAGTCAAAAATATTTTTATTTTTCTGGAAGTTAAGTAAAAAATATTTCATTTTCAAGTGATAAGCAGTTCTTACCGGAATATGTGATTCTATAGTTGATAGTCTTTGATTTCTTTCATTGTTGACTTCTGGTTGAAAATTTGATAGAAAAATCACCTAATTGATCATTGATACCGATTCTAAATTAAAAATTGTGAATGAAATTGTGTTCCCAAATTTCTTACTTCTAATCTGTAATATTGTTTCCCTCACATTCTTTCTCCTCTATTTTCATGATCGGAATCATCTAGTTGACATAGCTTTTTAGTTTCAAATTATGCAGTTGAAGGTTTTTGGAAACTTATTGAGTTAATCAACTCAAAAGAAGTTCCAGAAACTCAATAAAGAAGTCTGATAAATATTTTATTTTTATTTTATTTATTTTTTGTTTGGTAAATACTCACACCCAAACCCACACCCACACCCACAAATGCCCATTATGGGACTCGAACCCCTCTCCTCCCTCAAAAAGGGATGAGAGGTTATACCAACTGGGCTAATGGGCCAGTGGTAAGAAGTCTCATATTAATACTCATTAAAACTTATAAAGGACAGGAATGTTTTTATAAGTAAGGGCCATTTTCTGGTTGCATATTAATTAGGTTGGCATATCTCGGGAGCAGAGTGCCAAATTTACCATATGAAGTTTGTGAATATAAATTGCTAAGCACACTTACCAAAAAAAAATGCTAAACAAGTTAAATCATAATTCAGTGAACAAACATGGTGCTTAAAGAAAATTGGCTTATATTGTGGAATGGATTTTGTTTTATATATTTTCTACTTAGTGGTTGTGGATATTTAGTTTATTTGAGCATAAAATCTAAAATCATCAATTTATTTATTAACAACTAATAATTTCCATGCAGATGATGTGGCATTTGGTTCGTGCTTCTTGGATATTGCATATCAGCTGCAACAAGCGTAGGGTTGCACCTATTGCTGCACTTTTGTCTTCTGTCCTGCATTATTCAGTTTTTGTTTCTGAGTGCATGCATGAAACTGACAATGCTCCTGGGCCAGTAAAGTGGGTGTGTGGTGTCTCTTTTCTTTCTTCCTGTCCTTCCTGTTGATTTCTTAAAGAATAGTTCCTAATGGTGATTTTAGCAAGTTTGTTACCATTTATAATTTCTCTCCTTCAGTTTGTTGAAAAAATCCTCGAGGAAGGAACAAAAAGTCCGCGTACTATTCGTCTCGCAGCGCTACATTTAACAGGTCTGTGGCTGTCTACTCCAAGGACCATAAAGTACTACATGAAAGAATTGAAGCTATTAACACTCTATGGTTCTGGTATGTCACTTAATTACCCTATATGTTTTAGAATTTATTCCTTAAGTTATTATTATTATTTTGATAAGTAGTTATTTGTTTTCCTTCTTTTTAAATATTAGAAATTTACAAATTCTAGCATGCATGTATATCTATATGTTTCTAAGATCTATGTTTTTTACCAGTTGCATTTGATGAGGATTTTGAAGCTGAAATAGCTGACAATCATGATGCCAGGAGTGAATTATCAGCATTGGGCAAAAGCCCGGACCCGGAATTGACTGAAGTAAGTTGAATTGTTTTGAATTATATGTATATAAATTTCTGCTGTTGAGTGCAATCGTAAAAACTTTGGTTGATATGTGTGAGCATTTGGGTTCCAGTTTGAGAACTGCCACCATCTGTAAATAATATTAAAGTATTGGTCTATATCATTTCTTCCCCTTCTACCACTCAGCTTAGGCAGGACTTACACTGATGATGGCCTTTAATATGTGTATTCAAGTTTTGCTTTATGCTGTAGTTTTTTAATTATGTATATGTATTTGAACTGAAATATAGTTGATTATAAATTTCCTTGTAGTTAATTAAGGGCAGATTAAAAGGTTCTCTACAAGTATCAAGAAATGGTTTCCTATTCTAGGAATAACTTGCTTTTGGCTCTTCTCCTGCTTATAAGCTCACATTGAAAGGCTTATAGTCAGTGTTGATCTTATAGTTTGATAATTTTCTTGTGAAAGGCTTCAGTATATACTTGTGTAGAAAATAGACACAAATGTTTATTTCATTGTGGCAATGTTGGTCCTCATGGCTTGAGATGGTCAAAATGACTATTTTTTAGAAAAAGCATTTCCAAATCAGAACCTTAAATAGTGGTTTTTTTTCTTTGTTTTGTTTTTGTTTTTTGCTTTTGTTTTGTTTTTAGAACTTCATCTACAAAAAGAGGGAAAAAAAATTACACTGTTGATTTTCTATTTGTATGATCTATTTAAGTGGTTTTTTTTTTATTTTTTATTTTTATTTTTTATTTTTAAATTAATCTTTTATTATCATTTTTAGTATCCTGGTTGAAGCTGGATTCATTAGTTTGATTGGAGAAATGCGGTGCAACTGAGTGGAGTATGCTTTTTGGTTTGAAGGTCTTGTTTCTGCTTTTTTCGTGTTTTTATCGGTCCTTAAGGTTAGCAAACTAATGAAATTTATAGAGGGATGTGGTACAATCGAGTTTATGTCATTCTTATGGGAAAAGTCTTATATTTTTGTCCAAGAGTCTCTTAAGAGTGAAAATAGGTAGAAGTAGCCACACTTGGTTATCATAAGACTCACGCAGAAAATTTATTCTTCTTGCAGTTCTGTTGTACTGAGCGAAAATATTTTACTTTCCATTAAGAATTAACTACTTTACGTGAGTTTGCTGAGCGTTGTATATAAGCTATTTACTTATTGAAGGTTATTTGTTTATTGAGAAGGCTAATGGTAAGATATAAAGAGAAGAAGAAAGATTTTCATATGGTTTTTATTTATTTAGAAAAGATCTATGATAGGATACTTACAGATCTAATATAGAATTATTGCTTACACACACGCATACACACACACACACACACACACACACACACACATAAAGAGTTACAAGGGGATATATTGACACAATAAGGTACATGCCTAATGATTGTGTGACTAATTAGAACAGCTGTTGAAAAAATAAGTGAATTTCCTGTAGGTATAAATTATGGGTCAGCATTAAGTCCATATCTGTTTGCCTTAGTTATGGATGAACTAACATGACACATTCGTGATGAATGGTGTATGTTATTTGCTAATGCTATTGTTTTTATTGCTGAAACTAGAGAAGGAAGTGCTAAATTGAAGGTTTCGAGGGAAGCTTATAGCTATAAAATTATAAGGGTTTTAGATAAGTAGGAATAAACTGAATATATGGTGTTAAGCTATTAGAGTAGATGGTTGTTGTGGCCCGAGTTTCAGTCCAGGTCGTGTTGCAATCCTAAAAGGGAATTTTTTTGGACCCGTTCCCTTTTGTGGGTTGTGGAGCTGGTTCTTGAATTCTCTTGTAGCCCAATATATAAGGGCATTTAGGGTGTGTTATGAGAGAACACTGAACACCACAGGAAAGAGAGAGAGAGAGAGAAAAAAAGAAAGAGTTAGGGTTTGGGGGCTAAAACTTGTTATCTCCTATTTTTTGCATAGTTAAATCTTTCACCGGATCTTCACCGTGAACGTAGGCTTAAGCTAAAATCACATAAATCTATGTGTTCTTTGTGTGTGGCGTATTTACGTTTTTGTCGTGATTCTTGATGTGTTCTTGGTTCGCAGTGTTTGTCGTAACAATTCACATGATATCAGAGTAGGCAGGTCTTGAGTTCAAACTTCGCCGTCACCTTAACAATTAAAATTGAAGTTTGACCAAAAAGAAGTTCACACACGAGGGGGCGTGTTGGAGGATTTAAATATTAAAGTTACACCCTCTCTAACAGTTTAAGCTTTCGTTAACAAATATCTACTCTAAAAGCTTTAAGTTTTTTAGATTAGATGGTGGTTAACATGGTATCACAACAATCAAGGTCCCTTTTTAAAACCTCATGTCACCCTGATAGTTAAAAAATAAAGTCACACCTCCTTTACTGTAGATGGTTGTTAAACCTATGGATTGTAACTTTAGTAATTCGAGAAATACAAATAATGATGCAATGAAGATTGAGGATCAATATATACCAAAGTATGAACATTTCTGTTATTTAGGTTCAATTATTTATAATGAAGGAGAAATTGGAGATGATATTGATCATAGAATCAAGGGAGGATGGGAAACAGAGGAGTGCGACTTGTATATTGTGTCATGGTGTCTCTTTGTAAGATTAGAAGGGAAGTTCTATAAAAAAAGAAGAATAAGAAAAGACCAGTAGTTCATGGACGGCTAAGAAACAAAATATACATAAAGTAAGTGTGGTGGGGATGCAAATATTATGATGGATTTGCTGCAAGTTCAGAAAGGATATAATTGTAAATGGACAAATTCATGAGATGGTTAAAGTGGCAACGATTGGAGATCGAACAAGAGAAATTCGATTTAGATGGATTGGAGATGGAGATGTGCAAAGAAGAACACCAAGTGCATCAGTTAGTAAGAGTGATATGGTTCTCGCTGAGAGTACTGCTATGGGAAGAGGAAGATCAGAATTAACGTGGATAGAGTTAGTAGAGAAAGATATGATAACTTGTCATTTGGACGAGGCTTTGGCCTTAAGTGGGAAATGGAAAAATATAATTTGTGTAAATTACCTCAAGTCGTTGGGAAAAGGCTTTGTTGAGTTGAGTTGCTGAACATTGTTGATGTTGCTTGCTAATTGTTGTTTGTAATGTTATTGATAACGGTGGCTGGTCCATTTTGCAAGTACATTTTATTCCTCTATAATTTGCCTTCTTTAGAAATTCCTAATGGTGGCTTCTCTTGTCAGGCATTCATCAATACAGAGTTGTATGCGCGTGTATCTGTTGCTGTTCTGTTTAACAAGCTAGCAGACTTGGCCGATATGGTGGGATCTGATGAAAATGAAAACTGCTTTCCTGCCCTTGAATCTGGCAAACTGTTTCTGCTTGAGCTTCTTGATTCTGTGGTATTGTATCTTAACATTGACATCGGAATCTTACCTGAACTCTCATAAATATGAACTGACTATAAGAGGAATATGGAGATAGATATTTTTTTGATATGCTGTATGATTGGATTTTGATGATTTATTTTCTGTCCCATCTTTTATACTTAGGTCCATCTCCTGCTCAATTTCTTGTACAAATTGTCTCTGGTGATATGTGTTACTGAAGTAGCTAAGTCTGGTTGTTTCGTGGCAACTTAATTTTGGAATAGCTTTGGTTTTCCAAATTCATTGATCTCAATAAGATAGTGGTGCACCAATGCTTGTGAAAGCTCGTCAAAGATAGCTTCTTGTTAAGAATATGAGTTGCAAATAAATCACTTATGTTCTAAAACATAGCATTGTAAGGAGATTAAACTATTAAGAAAATGTCTATTTATTGGGTATAAACAAAGGACCATGGAGGCCTTACCTAACATGTGCAGGTTGAACCGTTGAAGTCGATGAACTTTAAGATTAAAATTGACTTTCCAATTATTTGGATCGTACATTGTTTTAGTTTACAGAAACTACACAATCAGAAAAGCTTAAGATCGGAGAGTACAAATATATGAAGGAACATGAGATTGAGAGAAGAAAGAGAGGGAGGGGGTTGCATTCGCTCTGTGTTTCTTCTTGTAGGCCTATTAGCCATGAGGAGTCTTCATCTGTTCCTAACACGGTTGTTTGTGAACTGTATTCCTACACTCGTGCTACTGACCATGATTTGATCTGTAGTAAGTCCATGTGTTTGTGCATACGTGCATGCATGGCTTTCTCACAATAAAAAAGTTTTATAGTATATGAAGTTTCTTTGATTAATTTTCTACAGAAATTATATATTTAATTTGAAAAAAAAAAAAAAAAACTTTATAACAAAAGTATTGTACTGTTTATCCTAAGAGAGAGTATTCATGCTAACTATTTATATTGCTTATTTTTGGGGCACTGACTAGTTTATGATTGTAATCATACTAGTACTACAGTTTATTAGTTTAATGTCTTTTGCATTGGTACATGTCAATTCTTTCCATTAAATTGCACTATTATTGTTATGAACCATAGAGTTAATCTCAGTATTTGTTGATGTAGGTAAATGACAATGATCTTGCAAAGGAATTGTATAAAAAGTATAGTGGGGTGAGTTTTTTTTTCCAGCCCCAAGATTTGGTACATTTTGGTGCCTCGTAATACAGTGCTTGGAATTTATTTGAGTTGAGATGATACGGTATGGAAACTGGAAATGTGCAGCAAAAAATAAAAAAAATAAACCATTATTTTCGAAGGTTAAAAATTTTCATTGCACCTGGAAGAGAGAGTGAAAAAAATTGGCAGCTCTGTTTTGTATATCTTTTCTGCATCTTTGGGCTAATTTGCACTTCTTTTGGTCTTGACAGATCCATAGGCGCAAAGTTCGGGCATGGCAAATGATATGCATTTTGGCACGATTTATTGACCAAGATATCTTGCAGAGAGTTATACATAGCTTGCACATTGCTCTACATGTAAGAATGTTGTTTATAGTATCTGGTATATTTTCTCAGGTTTGAACACTAATAATAATTTTTAGTCGGATACTTTTGTAATTATCACCCAATTCAATATATATATATATATATATGGGGGTGTAGAGATGACAGTTTCTCATTCTCTCTAACCCATTTTAATGTTCTCCCATCCTCTCATTCTATCACCCCTTTCTTTCTTCCAACCCTAATCTCGGACAATATTACATTCCAACTTGGCATCAAAGTGTCCAATCGAAGTACTTTGGAGTATGCCAAAAACCGTCATATGGGTGTTGACGTCATTGTTTGTATGATGGCATCATGCTGATATCAGTCGCAGTATGGTGATATCATACTAACATCAGCATCCGTATGGTCAAATTGAGCCAAAAGCACATGGACTGACTCATCTCATCATCCAAAGATTTATGATAGATTTTTCAAAATAAAAAATTAACCATCTTGAAGGCTTTCACGATTTTTTTATATTATTATTATTATTTTTTTATTATTCTCGATTTTTTTGTTTTTGTTTTTCTGTTTTGTTTTGTTTTTTGGGTGCTGTTTGGAGGCGTTAGGGCTGTTTGATTCAGTGCTATGATGTGTGCCTAGGCCATATTGGGTCTTTCGTTGAATTTTGTGATTGCTTTTTTGGTTCAGACTTCAGGTTTGAGGTGCGGCCAGTGAGTTCGATGGTCCAATTTGGGCATGCTGAAATCTTTCATATTGCTGACTTGTTGAGTTTTTTATTTTGATGTTTCTTTTTTGTTCTGTTTTCTATTGGCTTTAAACTTCTATTCTGTGGGTAGTCTTCCATTCTTTGTGTAGACATTTCTAAAATCAGTGATGGAGTGGTTGAGTTGGGTAGGAACTCTTAGAGATTATCTCTCCCTTAAAATCATCTAACGAAGTTAGAGTACAGAATATTCTAGAGGAGTATTTATACACGTGTCCTCATTCAACATAATACATACATATATGTGGGTGTAGAGATGAGTATTTTTATAAGTGTCACTCATTCAATGTCTAAAATATAAATATATGTGGGTATAGAAATGAGAGGGTATCATTATGCCTAACCCTTTTCAACGTTCTCCCTTTTGTCTCTATAAAGTCCACAAGAGAACTCTTCAAACCATTTCCCTCAGAAATGTTGTTTAGTTTGTTGTTAACACGAACTTTGTTATTTTTACAAACATATACATGTTGCATAAATCAGTGTTACCTTTTTTTTCATGGTTATAATTATTCTTTGTTAAGGTTGCACAGTTCTTAATGTCCTGGCATCAATGTAGCAGCCATTTGCTTTACTTAATGCATCTATTTCTGCATTATTTCACAAATATTTATGAGTTATTTATTCAATATCCATTACTTTCTTTTTATTGGATCTTGCTCGAGTACAAATGAGATTTTTATTTTTATTTTCTTACTTGGTACTCACACACACATGCCTCCACTGAGGTTCGAACCCCTGACCTCTCTTTGCATTACCTTTTTTCTTAGTTTGCATTACCTTTTGTATTATGTTAGATGACTGATGCTTTACATTGCGTGCTTCACTTGTCAAAAATTCACTCTAGATGCATAATTAATTTTTTGCTTTTTAATTTTTATTTTTATCTTCTGTCTAAAATGGTTATTATAGTGGACCTTGTTATGGAGCATTTCGTGTGTACCGACTACTTTTTGTTGGTTTCAATGTTATAGTGGACCTTTTTTCTTAGTTTGCATTACCTTTTGTATTATGTTAGATGACTGATGCTTTACATTGCGTGCTTCACTTGTCAAAAATTCACTCTAGATGCATAATTAATTTTTTGCTTTTTAATTTTTATTTTTATCTTCTGTCTAAAATGGTTATTATAGTGGACCTTGTTATGGAGCATTTCGTGTGTACCGACTACTTTTTGTTGGTTTCAATGTTATAGTGGACCTTTTTCTTAGTTTGCATTACCTTTTGTATTATGTTAGATGACTGATGCTTTACATTGCGTGCTTCACTTGTCAAAAATTCACTCTAGATGCATAATTAATTTTTTGCTTTTTAATTTTTATTTTTATCTTCTGTCTAAAATGGTTATTATAGTGGACCTTGTTATGGAGCATTTCGTGTGTACCGACTACTTTTTGTTGGTTTCAATGTTGTTCATTTGATTATACAATCTGAGATGATGTTTTGGGAATATGGAAGAGGGACCGGAGTTGGTCAATTAGTGTGGGTGCATTTTCTTTAAAATTTATTATAGCTTTGTAGAAAAACATTAACACAATAAACAAGGAGACATCTGCTTTCTTGGGGCATTACCCAGTGGCCTAGGTGGTAGAGTGCCCAGCTCCCCGAGCGGGTGTGCTCGTGTTTGAGTCCCCCCTCCCCCTAGTTTGCTAGGATATATATAAACTGCTTTCTTGATTGTGTCGAATCCTACGATCTATGATATATTGTTGTGTGCAAGAAAATTTGATTCTGGTAAAAAAAAAAATGATGCTGACAGTGATATCTGATCAATGATTGTTGGATTCCTACATTGAGTGTTTACCTTATGCAGTTGGAATGAAAAAAATGATGCTGACAGTGATATCTGATCAATGATTGTTGGATTCCTTCATTGAGTGTTTACCTTATGCAGTTGAAAGTCCTAATATGATACTTTAATTTCCTTGTAGAGAAACAACTTGCCAGCTGTTCGCCAATACTTGGAAACGTTTGCAATCCATATGTACTTGAAGTTTCCATCACTGGTATGAAACTTTTCAATTGCTTTGTTGGGTAAATTGGACCAATCCTCCTTATGGTGGTTGAATTTATTATCTTCATTATAGCTATTTTTCTATTAAATGTTCAACTTTTGAAATTTATTTTTCTGGTTTTTATCCTACTCCTGTTATATTTGAAAAAAGTTCAATCTGCATATGAGTCTTTGAGCTGCTTTGAATATTATTGCTACATGGTCATGACCTTTTTAATGTAAAACAATAAAGAACTTTAATAAATCTGATCTTAAAGATATATATATATATATATATATATATTTTTTTTTTTTTGTATTTCCTACATATGATCTATTCCTCAAGGGTTTATGTGGAATGTCATTAGGATAGTAATGTAGGAAAAGTTTACTGCTGAGGTGACGCTGTGTTAAATCTGTTCCATGTCCACACAAGTATGCTTAGCCAGGCTAAGTTGTCCAAACTAAATGCATGCAGAAACTACTAATTGGTCAGATGAATGAAATAGATGAATTCTGCACTATTTCTGTATCGAAGTTATCGGACATAGTATCAAAACTCTGTGAGGGAGTAAATGTTCCAAGATTGATGCATTACAAAGAGCACTATTAATTCTTCATGTCTTTTTAGAATGTCTGTAGAAATTATATTTCTATACTAGGTATTATATTGAGAGATTTAGGTTGATCTCCTTATGGTCCATGCCTCATGTAATGGGATATTCAAAGAGATGGTGTGATCGATTGTGGAGAAAAAGGGTCATCATTCATGTAGATTTAGGCGACTCTGGACCTAGACTGGAGTTACAATTAAAACATAGGAAGAAAGAGAATCCAAAATTTCGCTGCAATAGGCTTACATATTGGATGCCTTGAATCTCAATATAGTTTTGCACCAGTAATGCTTCAACTAACAATGCATATGCATAAGGATATGGCTATACAGATGGAGGGATATCTCAAGGTAGAAGTCCCAAAATTGGTCTTCAAGCTTGATGGTAGTAACGCTCATTATGTCTTTCCCAAAGTGACATTATATTGGTAGTAGTTAAGCCATTAGTAAAATTACATGTCAATCTTAATTGCTATAATTTGTATTGGAAGAGTAATCCAGAAATAAGCACTTCATACCTCACGTGCTAACAAAATTATATATAGTCATAATCAATGGTTTGCCATCACGCTTAATCAGGTTCTATCTGATGCCCTTTCTTCATCTTAAAAGTAGCTTATGTGCCAAGTAAGCAAAATTTTGATGTGGTGCTTTTCTCAAAATGAATGGGTGCAAAGTTGGAAGTGTAGATGAAGGAAAGTAACAAGCTTTTCTAAAAATGAATATCATCTAAAAATAAATGAATAAATCAATGGCATCTAAATCAAAAGAAGTCCTCATAACAAGCTCAAAACTTAGCAAGTAGTGATCCAGCCTTACCACAATACATAGATCTGTATTGAACAGTGGAGCTATCATGGAAGTCATAACTGTCTCAATAGATAAAGTTTAAGCAATTACAATTTAACAATGTCTATCATAATATTCATCTATCAACAATTTATTTTTCAAATCTTATTGATCAAATTATTATCTTACCCAATTTTTCTCTCAAGTAAATAAATCAGCTCAAGAGTCACACTTCGCTTATCAAGAGCGTTGTGGCTGGATCCTTATGCAACATATAAGGGATTGCACACAACCCAATTATGCATGGGGTAGTGGTTGGGGTTTGTGTATGCCTCAACCAAGGGGTCATATATAACTCACTCTATGCCACTGCTACCAAGCACACTTGGCCAAGGATCACATACAATTCACTTATTGAAATATTTTAAGGATCACTGAGTCACTGACACACAATCTCTCTTCTAATCCTTAATCGGGAAGCTCATTGGCCACCTCATCCCTATTCCAAGCAGTTTTTCTCTTGGGGGGGAACCATATGCCCCACCATAACTACACCAATTAACCCTACATAAACCAATTTACATAGAAAGAGCAGTTTCACTTCCGCTGCTGATGACCCACCTCAATCTATCTTACCACTCTAAGCATGTTACATTTTATTATGTTTCCCTTATTGCATCTTTGTTTATTTATGTGACACGACTAGGTTACTAGGTTATGTGTATCATTGATCCCCTGTGTAATAAGTTTTTCTTAATGTGATGTCTAAAAGTTTTATGATTTTTAAATTTTTACGCAACATGTCAACCTTCCTATACTTGGCCCCTGAATAAGGTGATGCGAATATTCTTACCATTCAAAAGATGAAAATTTAAGGGTTGATCTGTGAGAGTTTTGAGAAATTTTAAGCTTGCTGCATTTTAGATTATTTGAACTTTTAAAACATGTGAAAAACTTGGACATTTGAAAAGTTATAAAACCAGTCCAAGCACAAAAAGAGGAATCTGGTTCTTTGAGAATGACATTTGACTTTGGAATTTCATTCTGCTACTATTTTTGATGAACACAGAGATTGTTTGTTTGTTTATTTATTATGTCTTATGTGTATGAAAATAAATAAAATATTGTAAAACCAGGACCTTAAATTAAATGATATTCTTGGATATAACTCTAGTTTACTGGTCAATTGAATATTAGTGTTAGTTTTCCCTCTCCAACTTCAATCAATCTGGCTAAAAGCTCCATTGATAAGAAATCTACTTGAATGAGCTCTACCAAATGGACCAAATCTCTCTATCGTTTGGGTACCTACTGGTGATAAATTGATCAGTCTGTTTTGACTTTGATCGATCATGTCTTCTTGTGTTCACTGGATGACACTCAATTAATCTACAACGTTAGCTCAACGAATCAGACAACAGGCAGCTCTACAATTTCAACGCTAAGCTTGTTCCTTCATTATTGTTGATATAAATTGAACATTCATATAATTATGAGAACATCATGTAACATTTCTGAAGCAATTTAAGACACAAAATCAACACTTTTAATGGTTCAATCCTCACAAAACGTACGATTGTGTTTAGTCATTTATTTGAATACTCAAATCAATCATTCATCTAGGCTTTGTAGGAATTTTATAATGTATTATTTGTACTTATTAATCCTCTTGTCAATGCTTTATATATGGTTCTATATAACTCATACATACAATGCAGAGATTAGTGACTATTGAAAATTATACAAGCTCCATGCATGAATGCAATGAATGGAATATAGAATTATTAATTGCCTGATTGGTATTTCAGATATATATATATATTCTCATTGCACCACCACCTGGGAAGGAGGAAGACTGTGTCCTCTCTCTGTTTTTGTTGAGTAAGATATGTGAAGGGTACTAATCAACAAATAAAAGATTTATCTCAATAAATCCATGTTCGGGTATATGATTATGCGTCTTAACTGATTTTTCATTTACATCCCTGTTTTTTTTTATAAGGTTAAGCAACGTAATCGATTTTTGTTCTTGCCATGGAATCAATTTTATCCATATTTTCGATTTTTGTTCTTGCCATGGAATCAATTTTATCCATATTTTGGCTATCCAAATCTACTCCTGATTATTTGGATTCTTTTACCATTCTAACCCATAGGGACAACCAGATTAGTTTATTCTTACCCATGTTCAGGTCATTACAGTATGATTAAATTACTGTATGTAAAATGTTTTTTAGTTTACCATTTACGGTTGGGTGGGGCATTGACTTTACCCTACTTGCACAAGTTGCAGCCTTTGTATTGAATTGAAAATTATGAAGTTGGGGTGTATAGATCTTCCTATCTCTTCTTTTTAATCATAGTCACGAACATGCTGATGCAGTATTTGTCAACTTTGGGTGGACTTGGTTTTTGGATTTGAGTCCTTATGCTTATTGGGATTTTTGGGTCTGGTAATAGACAATGTAATAATAATAATATAATATATATATATATATATATATTTCCAACTTGAACTTTATTTACTTTCTTGATGCCTTAAGTTGTAAGGTTTCCTTAACTGATTATTATCATGTTAATTTTACAGGTTGGGGAGCATTTGGTTCCTGTTTTACGAGATTATGATATGAGGCCTCAAGTGAGTATTGTGTTGGAATGATTTAACTCTTCTTAACTTGTATTCTAGATATTTCTCAACAACATTCTGTCTATGTTTGAATTTGCCACTAAACTTAAATTTTTTTTGTAAGTAATTTGCCACTAAACTTTAGAGATAACGGACATGGAAACATAGTTGTTGAAACTACCACACTGAGCGACACCGAGTGTGTAAACTGCTATTTGTTATTTTATGTATAAGCAAGTGAAAATTTCAGTTCCTTCTTGACAAAACTGTAATTTGATTAACATTTTACCTCTAACAAGCTTGATACAAATTTTTGCTATCAATAACTTAATACTTATTATGTTTTAAATATAGGAGCCACAATGGAGGCCATTATGAAATTGCTGAATCACGTTAAATTTGATTATGAACTAGTTTCTTCCTTAATTATTAAAATAAAAAATAAGTCATCTTCGTTAACTTTGGGTAGTTTTATCTTTTTGTTGTTTATATCCTAGCCATATTCCTAGTGTGTATATATGTTTTAATATTTTTATGGTGCAAACATTCCCCTACTCACCTTTTGTCTCACCAGATCTTGCAACATTGGGATTAACCCTTAGTCCTATATTATGGCTCTAAGAAATTGTGTATGGTTACTTTTACAATTGAAAATTTCTCTAAACTTGATTAAATACTGTATAAGTACCCAACGTTTTCAATAAAAATTGTTAAATGGATGCCATTTTACTAGTATGTTATGTTGAACTTGCAGCTCTGCTTGTAACATGATTTAAATGTTCCCAAATTTTACTATTTCGCTTTTATTCTGGCTTCATAGATGCTATTTCTTGAACACTTTACAAATTCAAATGTTTATGTTTATAACATTTCTTACTTTGACCTTTTAAGTCTATAATCGTGCATGTTTTATGTTGTTTTTAACAGACTGTTAATGGTATTAAAAACCGCATTGCTAGGGTGAGTATAATGTCTCATCAGTAGGCATGTTTTGGTGTTCAATGGCATATGTATTTAATGGAAAATGAAGTCTTATACTATTATGTAATTGTATATGTTGTCTCACAGATTCATTGGTTGGAATATGTGCATAATACGATATTCATTCTCCAACTCTATGGGTTAAAGTGAAAACAGTTGGTCTTTAAGCCCTTTACTGTTAACTTCATTTGTCTATCCTTCCACACGTGTCAGCTGACAGGACACTGATTATATTAGCAGTTCTTTCTTTTAATGATGTGGTAATTTAAATGACAAATGTGCTTTTACAGATATCTATAAACAATCATGAATCAGAGTGAACATTTATACAACACTTCAGTTTTAAATTATTTAGACATTGTTATGCAGGCACTCTCTTCATATGTATTTATAGCAGCTAATGTCATTCTCCATTCAACTGAAGCGGTTCAATCTAGGCGTTTGGATGAATTGCTTCCTCCTATAATTCCATTGTTAACCTCACATCATCACAGTTTACGTGGTTTTACCCAGGCAAGTTCCTTTGAAACTTTTTGAGTGGTGAGGCTTTTTTCATTCTTACTATGAAACTGTTGCACTATTTCTGGTTTCCTTTTTCAGTTGCTAGTGTACCAAGTTCTTCACAAAGTGTTGCCCCCTCTGGATTCTAGTACCTCTGAAATCATGCCTTTAGAGAAAAGGTGCTTTGAAGATTTGAAATTATACTTGGGGAAAAACTCTGATTGTGCTCGGTATGATATTTATCTCTATTGTCAGAGACCATTTTCTGAAACTTGGTTTCATTAAAATCTTTGTGACTGTTAAAATTCAAAATCCAATATGCTCATAGAAAATTCGCAACAGAAGAAAAAATGCCACAAATTCTCATAATGGATTTTTCTCCATTTTTTTTTTGTAAGCCTTGATTGTTGTTGAGCACTCTGATTGTTTTTGTGTTTTAGATTGTGTTGTACACATTATTTTTTCTAATCCGGAAGGATAACCGTGACAAGATGCCTTTTTCCCAATATGAGTCCAATTTTGCCCTTACTCCCCTCGTGACTTCATATAGTATGGATGGTTTAGAATTTGAGCTGTGTGAATATGGTTTTACTCGGATAATTGTTTTAGAATTTTGGGAGCAGAGATATTGTTCATGGCATACAATTATAAAGGAGAAGCCTAGGGTCAAAGAACTTGGTTCTTTTACCAGGTAGTCGTGTGGGTATTTTGCTCTTTTCAAAGGAATTCTATTTTCATGTTTGTGTTTCATTTTTGCAAATTTACAGTGCTGTTCTAAATTATTCATGTTGTCAAGAGGTGAATGGTGATCTTATAGCATAATTTACCTAACCAGTTGACTTTTACTTCTATCGTGAGAGACTTGAACCTAAGAGTTCCTAGAATCAAATGCTCTGATACATACCATGTTAAATTACTAAATATCCAAAGTCTTAAAACTAGAAACTATAATGAACGGAAATGGGCTAAACAATGTATATCAAGCTTTCAGAGGGTCTTGAGTATTAAGCACTTTGATTTGCTCCATAAGAAACAAAAATTGAAATAAGATAGCATGTCTTTGTGTTTGTTTGTGATGAATATATATATATATATATATATATGTATGTATGTATAATATTATATATATCGTTGTCTAGCAAATATTCCCATTCCACTTTTTTTGGCAGCTAACAAGGACCAGTATGGTGAATTTTGAGCCTGTTATATATATATATATATCTGCTAATGACTTTCAAGTAGCTATGCAACATGCTTGAGAATATTGTTTATTTACTAAATTGATTAATCTGTTGCAGATTACGGGCATCAATGGAAGGTTATCTTGATGCTTTTAATCCCAGAGACTCTGTTACTCCTGCTGGAATTTTCGCCAATCGGGTAGAAGTCAGTGATATATTGATCGAATGAAATCAATACTTTACACACCAGCCTTGTTGGAATGGGAACATAATTTAGAATATACACTACATGGCATTGTTTTAGAACCCTAAGGCAACATGGGTTTGAACTTCAAAAATTAGAGTACTTGATACTGCCAAAATCCTCTTAGTAATAATAGTAATATTTATATTCGTATTAATTTTTGCACAAAATCTTGCAATTGCTGCGGTAATTGGTTGCTTACTTGAAACAACCTGCAAACAACCAAAAATAAATAAATAAAAGTCCCAGAATTGTTCTTTGCTTGTTGACACTGTTAGAAACTAGTTTATACTTTAATATTTGGAGCATTATCTAAAATACCTTTATAAATTCTTTATGCAAAAAAAAAAAAAAAAAAAAAAAAAGTCAACCAGTCATCATCATCATCATCCTTGTCTTAATCCCATATGAATGGGGTCAGCCACATGAATTGTCTTTCTCCAATCCTTTCTATCATGTGCCATTTCGCCTACTATATTCAACTTTTTAAAATCATTTTTAATAAACTCATCCCATGTTAGTTTTGGTCACCCTCTCCGTCTCTTACCTTCCATGACAACTAGTCTTCCTCGTTTGGCTGGCGCATCGCTAGGCCTCCGATGTTTGTGACCGAACCATCTAAGTCTACTCTCTAATTTTCTTACCAACGGGAGCCACCCCTAATTTCTCTCATACCTTCATTAGTGATCCTATCTCTCCTAATCACTCCAATAATCCATCCTAACATTCTCATATCCGCTACATGACGACATTGTTCTTGTTTCTTTTCTAGGTCCTAACACTCCACTCTATACAACATAGTTTATCTATAGCGGTCTGATAGAAATCTTCTTTTAACCTATTTTTAATTCTTTTATCATGTAAAATCCCACTAGCTTGTCTCCACTTGGTCCAACCTGCTCCAATTCTACTAGTTATATCACTATCTCTCTCCATCCTTTTGTATTATCGATCTTAGAGAGCGAAAATAGTTATTTTGACTTATCTTCTGGTTTTGAAGTGTTATCATTATGTTATCAAAGTCCGAGTCTTTATTAAATTTGCACTCCATGTACAAGGTTTTAGTTCGACTAATTCTCAATTCTTTTGATTTTAATTCCTTTCTCCACATTTCTAGTTTACTGCTAAGTTCTCTTTAGATGTGTCTAAGAGCACTGTATCATCCGCAAACATCATGCACCACACACACACACACACACACACACACACACACACACACGCATATATGTCATCTACTGTTGCAGGTTATAGCTTTTAGTCAATCAATATTGAGAAAGTCTTCTTTGTTGAAGTTGTTAGTCTTTTGTTGAACAGCTGTAAGTTTATTTCTGCTTTTTAATATAGATATAAGCATGACTTATCAAAAAAAAAAAAATATATATATATATATAGATATAAGCATGGTTTGGGCTTAATTGATGCACAAATTATTGAGAGCTGCTACTTTGTGCAATAACGTCAAAAAGTAGGTTTGCATCATGTCCCCTCCTAGAACCTTGCATTGCAGGATCAAATCTGGATAATGGCCTCTTTTATATAATTTTGTTTCATCAAAAGGCTATTATTAATCTTTTTCCTTAGCATGCTTATAATTTTCTTCCATCTAGTCTGTATGGACAAAATTTTTAAACTGTTTGCTAAAAATAATTCTGTACAGTTCCTTGTTCAACTAAAATTTTTTAGATTCCTTATTAATTTAACTGTTATGATAAGATTCGGTGCCATATCATTTATGTTTACATCTGTATTCATTTATTATTTATGTTCTTATTGCCAAAATGACATCATAATTTTAAACACTAAAACAGTGCATTTCTATTTTATTTTTTTATCCTGACAAGTGACACACACACCCTTTAACAGTGCATTTCACTTGACATATATTCTCTACCTTATTTTATTTATTCTAGTTTTGATTTTGTTTTGTGTAGTAAATTCTTTTGCCTTATATTTCAGGAAGATGAGTTTGAATGTGTTTCAATCTCCCTCATGGATCAAGTTATCGCCTTTCTTAATGTAAGCACTCGACCAAGTTCTTGTGTTTTCTTTTGTATGATCATCATCTCATGACGACTTGCAGGATGTTAGGGAAGACCTTAGATGTTCAATGGCCAAGGATGCAGTGAATATTAAGAATGAGAGCTTAAGAATTGATGATCTCAACTGCATGGAAGTATCGGTGAATTCAAGCAAAGAGCTGCCCAAAGAAGTATTAATGGATTTTCAGAAAAAAATTACCTTCTCCAAACATGAGGCTGGAGACACCTATTCCAATTTTTTCTCAGGCAGCAATGAAACATACAAACGACTTATGGGTATGTAAAACTTTGGACTTGACTAGTTATGCAAAAAATGGCTAAAAAAATTATTAATAATTTAGAGAATTAGTAGAGAATTTGAACTATATCATTAAGAGGAGATTCATATGTCTTCTATTGATGGAGAAGTGAAAACCTTTGACTAGACCGTCCTGAAGGCGGATGCAACGGGAAGAAGTGATGTCCACATAATATTTCAACATAAACACATGCCCGATACAAATTATGGATATGCTTAGAAATTACTGGACATGCATATGCGAGTATCCAAGGAGCGTTGGCATCCAATATAGATACAAGATTGAAGATGGATAGAGATCTCATGTACTACATCCAATTCCCCAAAAGTTTGAACTGTTAAAAAAATGAAGCTCTCGCACCCTGCCTCATGGCCGGCCAACTGTCTAGAACTGGTGTCAAATGCATATGGACAAAAAGTGGAGAACAAATACAGTTAGAGTGGCTTGAAACCAAGACCTTACAGAACTAAAGCAACAAATGCAGACAAAAAGTCTTGAACTAGAGACCTCTCAGCTCTGATACAATGTTAGATTAGCAATTACCCTAAATGCTTAGGCTGTTGAGGAATGTTCCCAGCAATACATGTCAAGCTCTCGCAAAACTACTGAAATATCCATGAAACACAGGCAATAAACATCTTTTAACAAACTAGCTTTCTCCTCTGTTGAGGAACAATGAGTAGTATAGGAAGGCAACTTGGAACAAGAACTTATAAGTTGATAGTTTGACTAGCTTCTGACTAGCTAAAATTTAGAGCTGCTAGGTGAACTAAATCCCTTGTAGTTTACATGGTGTAGGCTCTTCATATTTTCTCTACTCTGACCTCGAATTTTGCCTCCATGTGCAGATGGAGTGAGTTTCAAATGTCTATATGGGAAGTGTTTTGGTTCCATATGTTCCGTATGGACACTACTGAGATCATGTAACAGTATGCAAACATGATAATTTGTAAAGAAAAAATTCTATATTCTGATGCTGTTGGTGTCGGTTTTGACTACAATATTTAACTTTCTTGCTTACTCAAATCCATTGGGAAAGCTCTTAGTTCATGTTGACATTCTTTGTGACAAAGGTTTAGAGAAAGCTAGAATGATTCATTCTCCTATATTCTATAATCCCGTCCCAACACTAGATGTTATGTTTGGCTACCCGAGAATCTTTGTCAAATGTGAGAATAATTATGTCTGGAGGGGCGATCTGAAGCAGAAAAAAATGAAGTGACTTGTGGAAGAAGACATAATTTCCTCATATAGGATATTTACTTGGCCAAATAGTAAGTCTGTAACCAGAAAACAATCTGGGTGTTGAATTATATCTTTGGACCTTATTATATTCTATTTTTTTTCCCTTTTAAATGTTTCATCCATTGCCTTGGAAATATCTAGTGAGTTTACACTAAGTGGCATCAAATCCATCCATGTACTGTGAAGTCTGAATAAATCGTGTAAGAGATGGAAAAACCATATATTGCCTAGAAAACTGAGTGCTTAAGTTTCTTCTTCTAAATGTCATATCCAAAAGAATGGAGTGCTTAAGCAAAATAAATATTGCTTGGGGAAATGAGTACTACAGGATTTATGAGGCAAAAAAAAAAAAAAAGGAGAAAAATTAGTACTATAGGAGGAACTTTCTTTTCTCAGCTAATTCTCTATGTTGTTTACTGCATCTTTTTCTTTTTGTTTCTTTTTTCTTTCCCGAATAACTATTATCTGATTGTGTTCTGAATTCAGAAATGCAAAAGGAAGATCAGCTTCTTGATCAGTTGTTACATTCAAGAAGTCTAGCTATGGAAAAGTTAAGAGCAAGTCGACAAGATTTTATCCTCGTAGCATCACTACTTGATCGTATACCTAACCTTGCTGGATTAGCACGGACATGCGAGGTTTGTTATATGGACTCGGAATTACATTCTCTCCTCCATGTACTCAGAATTATCCTTTTCTTCTCCCTCCCTCCCTCCTCGCTATTATTGTCTCAGGAGTCTTGACAGTTTTATACAGCCCATATTTTCTATTTCAATCATGATTCCAAGCAGGTTTTTAAAGCAGCTGGTTTAGCCATTGCGGATGCGAATATACTACATGACAAGCAGTTTCAACTCATCAGGTTTTGATAAAGCTCTCTGCCATTTGTTCTATAACTTTACATGTTTACTACTTCCATGGGCACTTTGTTGCATACCGATTGTGTTTTACATCGGGGAGTCATGTTTGCTTGCATGAAATCTGAATATGATATTAGAAGAATTGCTGGGTCATGGTTGGCTGACAGCATGTTTGTAATCCTGGCTTCTGAGGTTTGGAACACTCTTTCATGGTTAATAAAAGGATTTCTCCTTCAATTGAAGGGAAGGAATGAGAGATTGATAGCTGATTTGTGTTACAATAAGTCCATAACAATGTGTTAAAAGAATTTCTCCTTTGTCAATTCTGTTCTTTTTATGTTTTGAAATAAATTTATTTTGCAATAATGCTTAGTTTTTTTATCAACAAGCGTTGTTGTTTTCAGTGTGACAGCAGAGAAGTGGGTTCCCATTATAGAAGTCCCAGTAAGTTCTGTGAAAATTTTCTTGGAGAAAAAGAAGCGAGAGGGTTTCTCCATCTTGGGTTTAGAGCAAACGGCAAACAGCATACCTCTTGATCAGTATAGCTTTCCTAAAAAGACGGTTAGCCATAATTTCTATATTTACGTTCAATTAGCGGTCTTTTTTTTTTTTTGGGGGGGGGGTTGGGGGGTTATGCAGTTTCTGTTGTATATTAATGGAAGTATCTCAATCAATTATACAAAATAAATTCGAATCATTTAAATTTTATCACAAGTTTTGATTGCTTCATTTTTGCAGGTCCTGGTTCTTGGCCGTGAAAAGGAGGGTATACCCGTGGAGCTAATTCACATTCTGGATGCTTGTATTGAAATCCCACAGTTGGGAGTTGTTAGGTCTCTCAATGTCCATGTTAGCGGCGCCATAGCGCTCTGGGAGTATACTCGGCAGCAAATATCCAGATAGCCCTGTATTCTCAACATGAGATTCTATTTTAACTGAATACAACACTCCTCTTGATCAGTGTATCTTTCCTAAAAAGAGGGTAAGCAATCATTTTTATTCTGTTGTATTTTAATGCAAGAAAGTATATCTCCAATCAACCTTATAAGAGAATTTTCGAATCATCTTAAAATTTATCACCACTTTTATGTCTGCTTGCTTTGGTTTTGCAGGTCGTGGTTCTTGGCCGTGAAAAGGAGGGTATACCAGCGGAGATAATCCATCCACATTATTAAAATCTCACGATTGGGAGTTGTTAGGTTACTCAAGGTTCATGTTTGTGGTGCCATATTCAGCAACAAAGGATCCCTTATAGCCCTGTATTCTCAACATGAGATTGTATTTTAACAGAACACAAAGGGAGCTTACCCATTTAAATTACTTAGCTGTCTAACTTTTAATCATGAATCACAGAGTAGGGACTTGGTTATCCCATGTAATTTCACACACACAGAAGGTCCTTATTCTTTCTTTTGCATTTTATGTTTTGTTTAAAACAAGTGGAATGTGGCTATGCTTGAGGAAGAACCTAATGATATTTCATGCTTTACTAGTTCAAGCGGTCCAATGCTCTCTCTCTTTAGGCCTTGTTTCGTCTTTATATATGTTAATTTTATTAATGCTACATATTCAAATTTAAAATCAAGAATTCAAACCTAAGTGAGCACTTGATTTGAACTCTTGAACAAAATGTAAATGGCATAACATAAGAAGGTGCCAGAAGTAGAAATTAATTAGTTAAGGATTTCTTTCATAAACTTTTTGAGAAAGTATTATGTAGAGCATATTTTAGTTTTCTTTGTACTATTAAATTTTATTATTATTTTAATTATATATACGTGTACAGGTATTTCCCAGAACAGATTACACATTAATTTACAATATTTCTGATTACTCATTGCGAACTTTGTGAAATTGTTCCTGTCAAAATTGCTTCTTCAAAGGCAGATAATTAAACATTTAACCAGTGAGAACTGAATTAATATATATATATATTATCCTAAAATCACTTGACGTTAGTGTACAACTTGGTGAATCGATTTTACACTTCAAAAAATGAATTCAAATTGAAATTCAGAAACAAACGGTTTGTTCAAAAGGACCTTTATATATAATAACTAAGCTTGTCTTGATTAAAATTTTGGTAGTGGAATGTCTGTCATTATTTAAGGTTAACTCGCCCTTAATAAATAAATAAATAACTAAAGATGGCAAGCAATTGTGATTCTGGCTGAATAGATGATGGTGATAAATCAATAAAAATAAAGTAAAAAAGAAGAGTATGACTAGCAATGTTTATCAATTACATCCATATGGTAACTACTTTATTAATATCATTTCAAAATGAAATGACATGATTCTTGAGTGTTTTTTCTTACAAAATTATTTGACATAAAGATTCTGGGTATGTATAGGTGACATTACTATGCAATAGAAACGACAAATGTAATGGCAAATATTATCAATTGGAAGATAGGAACATATCGTATTTCAAATTTCTTTTTTGGGAAGATGGATGGTACTTCAATTTGTTCCGTACGGATGATGAAGCGAATCAAGGGAAATGCAAAGAAATGAAACAACCATAGGGCTAAGAATATCCCCATGTAAAAGGATGTGTACGAGGATGTGTATGGCACGATAAGGAGCACAGAACAACAATAGGTGGCACTGAGAAATAGTTGGGATATATTTAGTAAAAAATGTCCTTCCGTGTGGAGACGGATTGTGCTCATGGACGCATAGAAGGTCACACTGTTCCAGAAATAGAAAGCACCGAACTGCCACGGTGTCATTGTTGACGTCCCTGCAAGATGTGGTCCTCTACGAAACCAGATTCCACCAGGTGGGCTGGTGGTGTTGGCAGTTGCATTGTGGACTGGCTTACGGTCATCTTGCCAGATTCCACCAGGTGGGCTGAGCGCGGCTTGGAATGTGGCTGTTGCAATTAGTACGGCCACAGTCAATACCGCCTGAGACATGTCCTTGTTTGCACCAAGTCCAGAGGAGTACTTGTCTATTTTTTCTAATTCTTCAAGGGGATCATCATGTTTAATAGATATTCCTCTCAATGCTTTAGCTTGGCATAGCATATCTCCGATCTCTATGTTGATGTCCAATTCCATTGGAAGTTGAAAGATGTCCAAAGCTGTTAAGCCCATAACGTTCTTCGCATTTACCTTAATCATTCTAAACACTTTTTTGCCTAACAACAATCTCACAGCCTGCACTGATTGCACAGTGGATATATTATCAAGCCATTAGTTAATATATATATATACTCCTATATTCCTGCATATACAACTAAAAGAATTCTAAAAGAACACGCACCACAGAGAATATGATATGGAAAGAAAAGGGCCGGGCTGGTTGTATATATAATTAATTAAGACTCTTGCCTGAGTTTGATTCTTGGATATGGCCATATGCAAGATGGTGTTGCCATCATCATCTGGCCAGTTTAAGATGTCTTCCTTGTCGACCTTCTTTAGCCATCCCACCAAAGCCTCAAAAATCCTGGGAACGTAGTATTTTAGGGCAATATGCAGTGCAGTTTCTCGTTTCGTTGTCAAATCTTCAATAGAGTCTGGGCAAGCCAGTAGGAAAGATCTCAAAAGATTAACATTTCCTTGAGCAATCACATAATGCAGAGAAGTCATGCCCTCATCTCCTCCTTTATCACGGACCAAGTTGCTATCAACAGAGACAAACCACTCGACCACGCGATCATCCCCACCACTTCGTAGAGCAAAGTGAATTGGGCTCAAGCCACGTGGGTTGAGCTTCCTGGCATATGAAGGCTTCAACTTCATGACTTCTGCTGCAAATTGAAGGTTACCCGTTGATGCAGCCACATGTAAAGGAGTATCAGCTAACAAATTATCATCCATATTGCGATCCAAAATATTTGGATCCTCTTGAATTAATGTGTACAAAAGTTGGATGTTTCCCTCTTGAGCAGCCACCCTCAACCTGTCATCCATTCTAAGACAACTAGAGTTATAGGTAGTTGAAGAAGATTGCTTTGTATGTGTGTGTATATGTACAACCCAGATTTTTAAGGTTGAAATTATATTTATTTTATGATTTTTAGTTGTCAAAATTGACTTTAATTTTAAATTGAAGACTTACCGATTGAGAGATTTAAATTAGTCTGATTTGATTTTATTACATTATATATATATATATATATATATATATATATATATATTGTATGCTTGGTGGAGCTACTTGCCGAAATGAGATAGAAGCAAAGAGCAGGTGGATGAAATTTGGTGAATCAATTGAAGAGGAGTGAGCAGTAGCCGAATTAGAAGGAACCAAAATGGGAATTGTGATGCGGGACCCACGAGAGGAATTAATGGGTTTTGATTTTTTTTATTTCGTATATATATGATTTATATGTATATATATATATTTGGTACATCTAATGTTGGATAAGGGGTGGCTGCCGAGCTGTATTGGAATCGAAGAAGATGGGTTTTGGGTACCTTTTCATTTCACATCATATTGTTGTTGTTGTTGGTTATTTATTTATTTATTTATAAAATGGGTCACTAAGGGCATTTTAGTTCAATTTTATCCTAAATGTGTAAAGAGGACACACAAATGTCATAGTTTATAGGTATTTTTTGTATGAAAGGAATGCAATATTCACTGTAAACATACTTTAAGAGTGTTTTCTTCGCTTGTTATGGACTAAAATAATTTTAATTAATTTGCTTTGATAAATAGGTGTGTAAGTGTCATGTATATAACTGTACGAGGGGTGCAAATCCCCTACTATTCATTACCCTACAGTCCCCTGCTGTGAGCTGATTAATGCCGTGTTTGGCTTGGCACAAGAAAAAGAAGTCAACAAACGGCACAGTAACTTAACGTGCCAACTGTAAAGCCAAAAAAAAAAAAAAAAAAAAAACACAAAAAGGAAAAGTTGAAATAAGCTGCCACCCCCGTGCTTCTGCACTTTCACTTTCCCCTTCTTCCTTTTGCTTTTGTTATTTCCCTCCTTCCTTTTTCATTTTGTTCATTATTTCTTTTTAATTTCTTTAATCCAAACCCTAATTCGTCTCTCTTTGTTCCATAAAAAAACATATTACTTGTGAATTCCCTTTTTATTGAAAACCCTAATTCATCTCTCCTCTATTCTTTCTTTTTTACTATCTTTTTTGAATCAAAACCCAAATTACAGTGTGTTGATTTCTTCAATGCAATATCAGCTCTTCATCTACAGGAAGGAAATCTACAATTGACTTGAGTTGGTATCTACAATTGACCTAATTAATGCTTGATTGTTGGTAAGTCTTAATACATGTTATTAATATTGTGCATTTAATATATTGTTCATTTACAGTAAAATTTTTCTTTTGAACGGAACAATGTAGATTTAGAAAATTTATGATTATTTCATTTGTCATCGATCTGTCATTGTAATGAATGTAAAATCTTCCATAATTGATTTTTAGAACTGAATTGGCTTCAGTGGGTATGAATGTGTTATAAAAAAAAATTGGTATTAAATGTATGCGGCAATTAGACATTTTAGAGGTTAATATTTGATATTTATAAGAAAAAAAAAATTGCGAAGTTTAACAAATAGGGACTCTAATCACCTTCACCATCAAAATAAGCTATTCACATAGTACTAATTAACTTATGTCACACATAAATTTAAGAATTTATGATTATTTCATTTGTCATCTGTTAGTGTAAATTATGATATTTTTTATTTGAAATTAACATTGGTTAAGCATTATTGTGAATCTGAAATCTTGGATAATTGTAGGGTTTTCTTCTATAATCATAAATAAGCATTCTAGTGAATGTAAAATCTTCCATAATTATTTTTTTTAACTGAGTTGGCTTCATTAAGTACCAATGTGTTATCCAAATATTTGGTATTTTCATGTATACGGCAATTACAAATTTCACAGGTTATTATGTGATATTTATGAGAAAAAAAATATTGTGAAGTTTAATAAGTAGGGATACTGATCACATTCACCATTAAATTAAGTTATTCACACAGTTTTGCAAACTAATTTCACACCTCTGCAAAACTAATTTCACACCTAAATTTAACATTTTTTAATTCTTTCATTTGTCATCCGTTAGTGTAAATTATGATATTTTTTTACTTGAAATTGACAATGGTTAAGCATTCTAGTGTATTTGAAATCTTGGATAATTGTAGGATTTTCTTCCATAATCTTTAATAACCATTCTAGTGAATGTAAAATCTTCCATAATTATTTATTTATTTATTTTTTTTTAATTGAGTTGGCTTCATTAGGTACCAATATGTTATCCAAATATTTTGTCTTCTCATGTATGCGGCAATTACACATTTCACAGGTTATTATGTGATATTTATGAGAAAAAAAACACTGAAGTTTAATACGTAGGGACACTGATCACATTCACCATCAAATTAAGTTATTCACACAGTTCTGCAAACTAATTTCAAACCTCTGCCAAACTAATTTCACACCTAAATTTAACATTTTTTAATTCTTTAATTTATCATCCGTTAGTGTAAATTATGATATTTTCTTACTTGAAATTGACATTGGTTAATCATTCTAGTATATTTGAAATCTTGGATAATTGTAGGATTTACTTCTATAATCTTCAATAACCATTCTAGTGAATGTAAAATCTCCCATAATTGTTTTTTTTTTTTTTTTTAACTGAGTTGGCTTCATTAGGTACCAATGTGTCATCCAAATATTTTGTCTTCTCATGTATGCGGCAATTACACATTTCACAGGTTATTATGTGATATTTATGAGAAAAAAAACATTGTGAAGTTTAATAAGTAGGGACATTAATCACTTTCACCATCAGATTAAATTATTCACATAGTTCTGCAAAACTAATTTCATACCTAAATTTAACATTTTTTAATTCTTCCATTTGTCATCCGTTAGTGTAAATTATGATATTTTTTTACTTGAAATTGACATTGGTTAAGCATTCTAGTATATTTGAAATCTTGGATAATTGTAGGATTTACTTCTATAATCTTCAATAACCATTCTAGTGAATCTAAAATCTTCCATAATTGTTTTTTTTAACTGAGTTGGCTTCATTTGGTACCAATGTGTTATCCAAATATTTTGTCCTCTCATGTATGCGGCAATTACACATTTTACAGGTTATTATGTGATATTTATGAGAAAAAAAATATTGTGAAGTTTAATAAGTAGGGACACTGATCACCTTCACCATCAAAATAAACTATTCACACAGTTCTGCAAACTAATTTCACACCTCTGCAAAACTAATTTCACACCTAATGTAATGACCCGGTCTTTTTCTTCTTTTTTCATTTTTGGCGATTTTCTTTTTTTGTCTTTTTCTTATTTTGTCTTTTCCTTATTTCGTCTTTTAGTCGTTTTTCATTTTTCCTTGCATAACCTCACTTGTTATGCTCGGATTTGATTCCGATTTTGCATGCATTCATGATATTTGATTTCCATGAAATTGGTATTTTTACTTTTCTTGAAAAACATGCTAGATATTAGTACTTTTCTTGTAAAGGGCATGAATGCATACTTTAGTGTAATTATTTATAACTTTTGGGGTTTTAGTGTAATTATGTAAAATAATTATTTTTCGTTTTGGGAACTTTTTTGCAATTTATTTCGGAAGATATTTTAAAAAGGGACCATTTTGTAATTTTTGGAAAGTGTGACAAGTGTGACAAGTGTGACACTCTCATGGAGCCATTTGTTGGCATTTAGGTGAAAAGACTTGGCACCATGACTTCTTGACATTTGGAGGGTGGAGATTCATCCATGTGTTGGCCTTAGATTGGTGCACATGAAACCATTGATTGTTGACAAGTGTGGGTCTAGGATTAAGTCTTGGAAGGGGCATTGGATTAGTGACAAGTGTAGGTTCACAATTTAGTCTTGCATTGTGTGTGTGACAGAGGTAGTGCAAGAACACGTTGTGAGTGGAGGATTTTTAGCCTTTCCACTCACCATTTTTACACTTTACCTTCTTCATTCCATTATCTCTTATGAACCCTAGCAAAGACTCCATTAGAGGAAAGCTTAGTATAGAGCTTTGATTTCACATTTGGCACTCTTTCACTCACCGTAGACTTTTGACCTTAGGAGAGAAAAGATTCCTATCACTCTCCTCTTCAAGAGTCCTAACCTTGTTTTCCATTTTATGCTTGGTAGCTTGGATTATAGAGATTCAATTCTCTATTGAGGTAGGGGTGGTAGTATGTTTATATTCTAAGTGTTTTATAGTCCTTGTGGTTTAATATATATTGTGTACATGCTTTTGATATGATAGTATTGCATATTATGGGAAACCCTCATTTCTTGACTTAGGGTTTATTGATTTAAGCATGTATGATATGTGTAAACTATGTGTAGGAGGATTATATAATTTAGTAGCATGCTAAATTCTAGAAATCTCACATGTGTTAGTGATGTGGGACACTTGTAGAATTATTGATGTTATATGCAATCTCTATTGATATGAGTTGCTATATTTGTAGTTACAGTAATTCTATGCCCTTATGAATTACTAATTGTAATTATTTAGGAGCTTATTGCTATGATGTTGATAATTAGTATATAGAGCTTGTTATTGAGGCATAACTTGAATTGATAAATTTGTGATATTGTATTGTGCATAATATCATGATGTGAATTTGTCATTTGGCATGCCATTCTAGATTTGGAATCCTAAGACATGGTTTGTATGGTTTCAAAATACTTGTGCATGGAAGGTGGTTTGTATGCCTTATTATATATATATATATATAAGTTTTGAACTCGATATAGATTTTGAAATCTCTTGGGACATTGTTACACGTGATATGGCTAAAGTTCGGGTTTAGTGCGGGAGGTATGAGTTCTCCCCAATTGAGATAGTGCGCACTAGGGTGGTCTTCCCAGCGTGTTAATGCCCGGAATAACCGTATTGATCTTGGTTAAGTCCGAGACGTGATGTCCAAGTCTTCCATTACTTGTTTTCGCATTAAATTTCAAGTTGACAACCAATGCTTAATTGTAGCTTGAAGTTCTTGT